CAGAGTTGGGAAAGACCAGAAAGCGTTGTGGAGACGGCAGATGTCACTGTCGCTACGCAGCGGGCGGCGAAGTCATAGGCGATACAGCAGGCGATTCATCCGCACGACGATTCTCGCTTGTGCTCGTCCCAGATACAATGGTAAAAGGTGCTGTAGTGTTCGCTCCAGGAGCTGGGACTACCACTGCACCGTTTGTTTTGGGGCCCAGTTTCGCGGAACCAGGCGGCGTTGTATCCGAATCCTCTTCCGGAATCGTGGGGCAGTATGTTTTGAGGACGTGTTTGAGGGCGGGCCGGCGAATCGGTTTCGAGAGGAAGAAGTCCATGCCTGAGTCGAGGCATTCCTGTGACATGTTAGCATATGGGTAGTCGGAATGGGATCATGGGTTACACACCTTCACATTGCTCTCCTCCGCGTACGCTGTCAGAGCGACGATGGGAGCTGAGAAGCCGGACTGTCGGATGAGTCGCGTTGATTGCAGACCATCCAGGTTGGGCATTTGGACGTCCATGAAGATGAGATTGTATGGAGCTTGACGTTCCATACTCTCCATGACCTTGTCGAGTGCTTCCTGGCCGTCCTTCGCGACAGTCACATCGTACACATCTTCCAGCTTCAACATGCGCAGTACGACCTCTTGATTAGTCTTGTTGTCCTCAGCGACGAGCACCTTGACTTTGTCTCCTCGTTTTGTTGCTTCGGCTTCCACCCGCTTCATAGCCGCGACCTGCGAGTTTGGCGATTCTAGTGGCGCGTTCGAAGCGAAGAAAGGCTGACTGAGACCAACAAGACGGGGTTGATTGTCGGTGTCGAATGCCACCGGCCCTTGTGGAGCAGTAGCAACGGTGTTCCCAGCGACGATCGGACCACTTGTAGCGGATTGTATCGAGCGGGCCGAAAGCGCGTCATCATGTGAGCGGCCTCGCTGCGGCTCGTCGATCGACAGACTCCGGCGCGGTGTCCCGGTTTCCAGGTTCACGTTTCTTGAGCTTGCTGTACTGTCGGCCCGACTGGTGAGATGCTTCAACGGTATTACCATGGTAAACACACTTCCGTGTCCGACCTCACTCTTGAGACCAATTGTACCCTTCATCAACCCAGCAAGTTGCGAACAGATACTCAAACCAAGGCCTGTGCCTCCAAACTTCTTGCTAAGCCCCAGATCACCTTGAACAAAAGGCTCGAAAATCTTGGAGTGTAGATTGTCAGGTATACCTGGACCAGTATCTTCCACCTCGAATTCGAAAGACAACCATCTTCCGGGCGGTGGTGTCGCAGCTCGCTCTTGTGCCATGTAGCGGGCGAACGCGTCTCCTTTGCCCATGACGTTGATGACATTGGCAGTGCCGTAGTTGTGGTCTGGTGGTGTGGCAACCGAAACAGATCCTACCTCAGACGCAGAGGCTCTCATGCGAGTTTTTGAGTTGCGTGTAGAGCTTTGTCGTGATTGTAGGGAGGCTTTGCGACTGTCAGACATGTGGGCCTCTCCAGGGCAACGGATGGTAAGCGTAACAGAACCGCCTTGTGGAGTGAACTTGAGACTGTTCGATACCAAGTTGATAACAACTTGGAGTATCCGATGTTGATCACCGTACAAGACCATGTCCTTGAGACGGCCTAGTCCGAAAGGTCCGAGATCGCGTAGTTCGTTGGGTCGTCCGTTGTCGTCCAGATTATTCTCATATGGTCCCTCGAATTCGACGGCGAGCTTGATACCGCCCTCTCTTGCCTGCTTTTCGAAAATGGCCAAGACTTGCGAGCTGATATCGCGTAACCGGAATTCCTTCTCATCTAGACTTAGTTGCTGACCAACCTGGTTTTTGCTGAACGTCAAGAGATCTGTGAGTAGGTTGAGTAGCAAGTCTCCGCTCTTGTAGATGATGCCTAACGATCGTCTTAACTTGATTGGGTCGTCTTCCGACATGCACACAGCGCACATGCCCAAGATACCGTTCAGCGGCGTCTTCAACTCGTGCGAGATGTTTGCGATGAACAAGGTCTTGCTTTCGTTGGCCGCTTCAGCCGCCTTCTTGCTCTGTTCGAGCTCAGCCGTTCTTTGTGCTACCCTCTCCTCCAGTTTCTCGTACTGCATCATCAGCTCGTCCGTCATCTCGTTGAAGGTGGTCGTTAAGTCGGTGAGTTCGTCGTGGATGAAGTGCTTGCGGTCCTTGACCTTGCCTGGAATGCGGAACTGCCTCCGCCTCGCTGCTTCCTTCTTCTCTGCACGGTTGAGTTTTGCATTCCTCCGATAATGAACGATCTGGCCAAAGAAGCCTTCTTTACGGGCAAGAGCCCCGTCTTCCGAACTGTCATTGGGACCATCGTTTTGCGAGCTGAAATCATCGTCCTCAAACATGTGGGGCGCTACGGTTTTCTTGGTCGCGTCTCGGAGTCTTCGGATCGGCTGGCTGGAGAAATGTGCTACAGGAAACGTGAGGAGTAACATGGCACCCAATGTGCCGAACACACATGCGATGATGACATTGCGTAGGTGGTAGATGGGTCCCCAGACTTCATCATGGGTTTGCTCTACCACAACCATCCAGTCGACCATAGGACTATTGATGACAGCGTATCCAACGGCAACATTGTCGCCATCCTCATTGCTGGTAGAGATGATGCTTCCAGCGTTGTTGGTGGCACCAGTGGGCTTGGTGAAGCCCTTGCGTATGGCGGGATACTTGGTCCAGGAAAATGGCGGTGGATCGAGAGCAGTATCGTATTGGCCATGCCTCTGCACTTTTGATCGCTGCGTTGGCGGGGCAAGATAGCGCACCTGTACGTCCTCGGGAGCGCTAGGGTTTGCAGCATCGTACAGGTACTCGGCAGGGAAAGCATTGGTGGCATTGTTCGGGCCGAAAAGCAGGGTAAGACCGCTCTCGTCGAGGCCCTCCATGGCGTTGACAACATTGGTGATGAGCGATGCATCCAAGACAGCCGTCAGCCATCCAAGAGTATCAATGTTGGACGTGTTATTGATGATGGGAGTGGTAATTGACACTAGGCTGAGTGTTTCGTTGACGCGGTATGGGCCGGAAAAGAGGTAGCTGGTGTTGTCGATAGTTCTGCCTTCGTAGTGTGCCTTGTACGTGTTGACAGTGTCATTGTATGGTATGGTCTCTACAGTGAACTTGGGATAGAGCTCTGGGATGAAACCGTACTCGGTGTCGCCTAGTGTTGCATTCTGTCCGTCGGGCTTGAGTATGGGCAGCACAACGTCCATCATGCTGTATGCAGTCCGACTGAATATAGAGCGCTCGGAGGAGTTGAAGGGGTATATCTGGGCTTGGATAGCCACACGGGTCCGCATGTCACCGGAGAAAATGGCATCATAGTCCTCCTCGACCCGGGACCAGTTTTCATCCGATAAATTTCCACCGTAGTATCGGTTGAGGGCAGACTGTGGAGAGAGACGGTTGGCAGCCTGTTGAGTGAGGATTTGCATGAGAGCCAGGTTCGACGACAGTTGGGCGGCTTTGAGAGAGGCTGTCAGCGTGAGACGAGTCGACCTAAGCGGAGGATTAGTACGGCGCGTCGGTGGTGTGAAATGGCAAGATTTACCGTATATTCAAGACGAAGTTGTGGTTGGTGAGCTGGCAGAGTTAGTACTGGTACGGACGAATATACAGCGTTGGTAGGTACCCATGTTGCGACAGCTATCACAGCCAGGCCTATCATGGAAGCCAGCAGAACCAGACATCCCAACTGCTCACGGATGGGAATCCGCATCTTGACCATAACCCTGCGAGGCGTCGCAGGCTACACGTCGGACGTGCTGTTGAGGGGAGCAACGCAGCCCGGAGAAAGCGAGAGAAAGCGCAGTCGGGGCGGATCTCAGTCAGCTATCCTAGCGGTACCGGCGAGGTGACAGACGCGAACGACGGGAGTTGTCGGTGGAGTGTGTAGGATGTGCGTATCCCATTCCTCGCAGTGGGCGGCGGCGACGGAGTTTTCGCTTGGGTGTTGTGGACGATCAGAGGCAGATCTCGATGCAATCTGGGGTGCGAGTCGCAGAGGGCAGGCGAGGTGGAGTGAAAGCACGGCAGAGGCTACTACGCCCGAAGCAGCAAGACAGGTTCGGCTTTAGGTTCTACAGGGTATATTTTGCTTTTGGCAGCAGGTACCGTACGATTCTTGCGTGCGCGAAAAGAGAGGACGAGCCGGTGTGCTCTGGCGGGCGGACTAAGGTGCGGATGAGTAGCAAGAGACTCAGCGCACGTCGCGTCCACTGTGATGGAAAAGGATGGAGGGCGGACCTCCCGGGGAGAGATTGGCATGAGTTCCCTTTGGGTTAGAGCCGTCAACCGCTGAACATGGGCTGACAGCTCTAGGCTCGCGCGCTGCCTTGGGTTCGCCACGCCTTGCCAGCATTCCGCGGCATGGACTGAGCAAATTACCTGGCCGAGAAGAGAGTGCAATCTGACCGCGCAATGCCGACGAGCCACACCTGTCCTCATTTTGTTGCGCTGCAGCACCAAGCGTGTTGTGTGCGTCTTGTCCGGCTCGCTCTCCACCAGCAAACACGAGTTCAGGCCACTTGGCAAGCGGGGATGGCCTTGTCGTCTTGAACGGGCCCCGTCTCCACTTGCTCTTTTGATCGGCAGATTAACTGGATCCGTTGCGATCCAGACTTTCACCCTAGTCGGCCTTGTGTCCTGTCTTGCCGCCGGGGCAAGACTGGCATGCACTTGCATGACCAAAATAAAAAAAAGAAAGACGTGTGCAACACCAACTTCTCAACGGCTGCTAGGTGCTTGCTAACAGTCGTTCAAACGGTCCGCGCCGCTGTCTCGAGTAGTGCGCTGTCAAGTCGCCTTTCTAGTCAGTCTCATGACACCCAAACCACCCGCCTGGTAGACGATGCCCCGGATCGACAACCCTCTAGTCTTTAGCTACCTTCTCGGCCCTTCCACACGTGGCATAAGCATAGCAATGTGAACTTTTGCATGTTTCACGTCTCGCGATATGTCTTCGTTGTACCCAATCATCAACTACATATATTATCCTGCCCAGTTGCCCACGGTTGAATAGCCTGCTGTCGAGCCCCTATGCAACGACGGCAGCGGCGTGCCTCCTGTCACAGAGCCTACCCTCGCCAACCCATCCATCTTCGGATTCGTATAGTTCCTGCCCATTCTTTTGAAGAAGGTGAGGACAACCATGGTGCCACAGATGACTTTGTCAATCCCACCCGGCGCCAGTGTCAGCCCATCGCGAAACACAGTCATCTCACCGACCTCAGCGCCTCTAAGAGCCAACACACCTTTGTCTGAAAACGTAAAGCGCGCAATGACCTTGCTAGAGCCTTTCTCGTACACACCCAATGCGATCGGTCGCATCTCGAGTACCCAGACGTATGTCTTGTTTCCAACCGTGAGACTCCAGTCTTCAAAGTTCAGCGACTCCATCTTGTACTTTGTACGCAACCCGTCCTCCGAAGCATAGTCAAAATGCGCGCGCGGCCGCCAGGGGAACCCTCCGTCGTTGTCATACGAAAGGGCAGCTATATTGCGCTGGCGCATATCCTGCGACGTATGCAGCACCTCCATCTCCGGCTTCTTCGAGAAGACACGGAAGCTGTTCGTTGTGATTCTGTACGAAGAGGCGAGCGGCCCATTGTAGGCAGCGAGCATCTGTATCTTGCGGTCATACTGGCGAAGATGGTAGGTAACAAGGGGCCCGTCGTATGCGCCGTCATCGTAGGCTGGAGCCGTCTCAGCCTCGCCGTAGCCCGGAAGCTCGTCATCGTGCGCGACGTCCAGGAAGTCGAGAGCATCTACGCGCTGTGTAGCTGCCATTATGCATTTGGTCGTCTAGTATGCCGCTGGTCAGAAGGCGCCGGCATATATACCCTCGCTTGATGCATTGCACCCGTATGGAATGCGAGATTCATTGCGCGTGTGAGCAGTCCGTTGACCTATGACGAGGACAAGACTAGGACGAGACCGGTGCCGAGTCTGTCCAATAGCTGTGTTAGTCATCGTTACACGCGTGAATTTGGTCTGCCTTGCAAACAGCCTCCATTACACGCCGTGCAAACGACCATGAACGGACATTTGTTCACTGAAACGTAAAACCCGTCGAATACAGACGCGTGAAGCCTTGCGAAGAAGAGGTTTGACGCGTGAGGTGTCCGAGTAATAGCGACATCCTTCCTTCCCCACTGACCACTAGCGTCTGGCCCGTGCGCTCTACTCTCTGCACACGTTAAGAGCTACCAACACAACCCAAATAATCTGAGGTTGCGGGTTTGCGAATAAATTCTCCACTAGTAGTCACGTCGTTTCCACAGGGGGCCATGTTTATCTTCCATCAACTCGATGCCACGACTACTGGCTGGCTGCAAAAAGCAATATGCGTCAGAATGGCTCATACACCTCTAGACTGATTTGGCAAAACGCAGCAGCAAGCGCAACCCCAAGTCGCTACCAGTCCCAAATCTCAGCCTCGCCCCTCAACGCGCCAAGCTCTTGATATCTTACATACATAAATGTACATCAGCCACGATGATTTCGCTGCTGCAATTATCACGACGTTCAAGTTCACACTCATTGTTCCGCTCGCTCGTTTTCAGAACAAGCCAACATTACGGATTCACTCACTACTGTCGCCTTCAAAATGACAGACTCAAAGCCCCTCGTCTTCTACGACATCTCCTCACCAATACAACCTCGCTCTTACGCACCCAATCCCTCCAAAGCGCGTCTAGCCCTCAGTTTCAAGAAAGTTCCCTTTAAAACAACATGGGTCGACTTATTAGACATCACCACCGTCCGCAAGGGGCTCAATTGTCCAGCCACACGCAAGTTGGACGATGGCTCAGACTACAACACCCTACCCATGCTGCAAGACCCCTCCTCCAACAAGATCATTGGGGACAGTTTCGACATTGCAAATTACCTCGAAGACACGTTCCCAGATTCTGGCGGCTGTCTCTTTCCAAAGGACTCCAAGGGCACAGGACTGGATTATGAGAGCCCGAATAAAGATACCATGTTCTTTGCGCCTCTGACGCTAAACGAGGGTGCGAAGAATGAGGCGTATGCAAAGTTCAACACGCATGTTGATGCGACGTTTTCTGCGCATGTCATCCTTGTCTCGCAGTACATGCCGTTTAATCCTGAGACTGCAGAGGCCGTAAAGGCGCAAATGTGTAAGCGAGCGCATTTGGAGTCTTGGGATAGTGTAAGTATTCAGGGCGAGGCTAGGGAACAGCTCAAGGTGGCGTTCAAGGCGGCGCTGAAGTCACTAGCAGACTTCTTTGTGGTAAATGAGGGAGGGCCCTTTTTGGAGGGCGAAAAGGCGAACTATGCGGATTTAATTGTGGGTGGGTGGTTGAACATGTTGGCGAAGTGCATGCCAAAGGAGGAATGGGAGGATTTCAAAGAATGGCATGGGGGTGTGTTTGGGAGGTTGCACGACGTATTGCAGGAGAGGTGTTTTGTGTGTGTATGATAGGGATGGGTAGCTCGGATCGTCGGCTCGATCTATGTTTAAGCTGAAGTGATTCTTTTCGAACGTCCAGTTCAATAATGGTTTTGTCTCATCGATCGATTGATACCCAAGAGCACTAGTATTTTCTTGACCCATCTCGGGATCTTATGACGCTGTCACTGTCAACTCAAGTTTGTCGTACTACTACCTTTCATAGTCACTAGAGTTGCACGAGAAGTTGCGTCACTGTTTGCATGAGGGACGAAGATGCCGTGCAAGTATTTTCCGTGTATATTACGGGACTATTGAAGCAAGTCATAGCCACCGAGTGTTATATGACCTTGAACACCATTGCCGCTAATCCTTGGAGCGCCATCACGCGGCCTCTTGTCTTTTCTAACATAGAGATATTGGAGTTCATGCTCAGGCTTCCTGAGTACGGCCGTCGGCGTAGACGTGTCCGAGGCTCTGATGTAGAATATTCGCGAGGATATCAGAGAATGTCCTCTGTATCAGAGTTATAAGCCGGAAAAGTGGCACTGGGATATCCTCCACCGTTCCAGTTCATGTGTTTAGTGAGGTGAGTTGGGACCCATGTGTGCAGGGATGCTGGGGACGTAGGACATGGGAACGCTCTTGGTTGGACCCTCTAAGCCCACCAGAGGTTCCAAAACCACCTTATCCTGGTCGTTCTCCCACTCTTCTCGTTCTGCAGCTTTTTCTGCATCATCGGTCAAGTCTTCGTAGAATGAGAGGCCACTAGGGAACGTCCCAAGATCATCATGGCTTGAGACGTAGCCTTTACGGCGATGGTCTTTCCTCACCTTCCAAATCTATTTTTTCTGCCAGTCGACCGATGAGAGCGTGTAGTAGTCTGAGACGTCATATTTTTTGAACCCTTGAGTGTCCCAAGCAAGTACACTTACTTTCGCATCTTCCATGAGCAACTTGTTGACTACTGCTCGTGATCGCTCTAGAGCTGGCATACAGTAGATGTAGAAGGATTGCCATGTGAGCAGGATTGTCAGCTGAAAACCCTTCTTGACGCGCAATTCCAAGAGCACTTCAAGATGGTGCTGAAAAATTTCCAGGCCTTCCATACTCTGTAGTTTGTGTCTTGTCTGCTCACCTCGTCCGATGAGAACGTCCTGACGTAAGGGAATTTCAAGGTGCCGGACGTGATCGAGAGGCTTGACACCCAGGTGGAAGTGATCTCGATACACTAGGTCGGTGAGATTTTGCATGGAAGTTCCCACCAATCGAAGCAACGACAGGTATCTTGCGTGCAAGGTATGGCCCAAGGCACGGCTTTGGTCCCCTTCCGATGCTGATGGCTGTCCTGTGAGGATGGAGGAAACTCATGTGAATTGTCCGAACTGTTTCCATACAGAGTCACGTCGCCGAAGGTGAGGCCGAGCATGGCCCAATCCCAGACGTAGTCGTAGACCATCTCGCGGAGCTCGCGCGGTAGGGTGACGTAAAACTTGTCGGCGAAGGTACGACATAGCTTCTTAGCGATGAAGCGGCTGAGCTGGTCACATTCGCTGCCCACGTCTGTTCGCCTAGTCCTCAGCTTCGCAACTTTTTCTTTCAATGGATCAAGCTTGCGTCGGAAGATTTCTTCTGCGGGAGACCTACAAGATGTGAGCATGAGTCAGGAGTTGTCTCAGGATTCTCGTCACTGACCTGTCAAGGTCCGCCTCAGCGGTCTCGAGCGTGGACTTGTTGTCGCTGAGCGAGGCCGCGTCCCCCATCGTTGTTGCTTGGGCGTAGACGACAAGTTACTCAATGTGGCTGCGTATAAAGCATTGGGACAATGGGTGTGGAGTAGCGCGAACAAAGGTTCGCGCTAGTGACACGCTGACCGCGATTGCTGGTGCAGGTGTCACGAAAGAGGAAGCAGCTCTGTGAAGTTGCGCAGGTGTCACGTTCGCGAAGTCACGTATGATATGTAGCCCTCAAAACCCAGTTTCTCAGTGCTGTACTCTCAGCAGTGACGCTCTTTTCCACTTTCCATATAGCATATTGCATACTCAGCAGCCATCACGTCCTCGCAGCTGGTGTTCAGGCCTTTCGCAGAGGATGAAATCCGCCTATTAACACTTCTACCTGCGACGTCATTGTCAGCACCCCTCAGATTTCGGATGTTCCACACGAAGTTGTGCATTCCGCAGGTCCCTTACGCAGCAATATCGTATACCTGGACATCCAGGTCGGACGGTGATGATCATAGCAATGGCGACCTCTATGAATTGGTGGACGTCGATGGCCACGAGACATCCCTCTGCCATAACCTGGCGATGGCACTGCGTTCTGTTCGTCTCGAGGTTTCACAATGCCTTTGGGTATACGCACTACGTATAGACCAGTCCAACACGGCTGAACGAAACATCCAAGTAGTGCGCATGCGAAACATCCTCTCAAATGCTACCAATGTTTTGGCATGGCTGGGACCAGCTGCGAAAGGTAACGACCTGGCGATGGACTTTCTTGCACACCTGACAAGGCACTCTTGTAAAGAACATATTGGAGCTTGGCTTGGGAACGAAGGCGTGCATCCTTCTACGCACGTGCTTCAGGCTTTGAACGAGCCTGGCGCAGCATGCGCGGGTTGAAATTTGACGGGGTGGATTTACAGCATCTTGTCGAGACTGGTCCGGCAACTGAACAATACGACCACTCTACATCTGCATCATTCAACCCTCATTGGACAGCTCTTGAGCATAGCGCTGGCCAAGCCTGTTTCGAACGGTTCGTATTCACTACAAGCGGAGGATATCTTGGAATCGGTTCTTCCACAATAGAGCCCGGAGACAAAGTCGTCGTACTCCTGGGTTGCAAGGTGCCAGTGGTATTGCGGCCGCTTGACCAGGGCGGCTACAAGCTAATCGGGGATTCGTATGTAGACGGCATGATGTACGGTGAGATGATGATGAAGGTAGTAGGACAAGGCATGTTTTCCACATCGATTGAGTATCTTGACATTCTCTGAAAGCTTCCGTGGCGCGCGCGCGCCGCACTATCGGAGATGTGGTAGCTTTGTAATAGTCGATTGCAGTAGAGTGAGGTATTGATGCTCAGGCAGACCAGAGATGGAGGCGATTCGCTGAAGATCGGCGGATAAAGTGGGCCTGATCTAGACTCCAGAATTCTAGACTATCGAACATGGCGATCGCAACTCAGCAAGTCGGAAGAAGAAAATTGCTCTCGTTCTCGGATATAAACTGTTTGAATTTTATCGTATTTACCACATATGTACACTGGCCCACTTCGCCTTTTTTGGGCTCATTGGGCATCGTAAGGGGCGTCGGTCCTCATGATGTAGATCTCGCCGACGAGGACAACCAGACCGACGAGCATGGTAATCGCAATGATAGGCAGGTTGACGCGTGCAAATTCCAAACCGCCGACATGGATGTGTTTTCTGCCCAGGATGTCGCGCCAAAGCATGCCTGCTAGCGATGCACTGAAGGCCAGACTGAACGCGCCGTAATTGACGCCAATTGCCATGCTGTAAATCGTGCCCCAAAAGGTTCGGTCGGAGATCGGATTGCCATTCAGACGGTGAATCTCTTGCCATGCCTGGATTACCCTAGAGATGAGGATTGTGGTGCCAATGTTGGTACCAGCGAACTACTCAAACGTTAGCTATTGGCATTCTGCAACAGTACCGAGAACTCACATTGCACAATATGACTGAGACAAAGCCCATACCGCCGATTGCACCAACTGTGCCGGTCTTCTCAACCCAGTGATCCCACCCGTGTGCGAAAACTGGAACCCAGCCCTTAGTGACCAGAGCCTGGACCAGTACGAACATACAGAATGCGAAAGGGACCAGCGCCAAGGGAAGATGGTGAAAAACGGTCATGGTAGTCGGGAACGTCTCCTGTGCCCATCTATATGTGTCTGCGACGAGCGACGCTAGAGTAGTTGGTATTGGCTTCTTGCTTGGCTCCAACTTCTTTTCTTCCTGTGACACGGGTTCAAGCTTTATCATTTCGTGTGTTCTCCCGCTCAAAATGTGACTGGAAGCCTCAGCCAAGGTATGAGACTTTTCATCAGAGTCCTGGTTCGTTTGCTGATCCGATTCGGGGGTGATTGCGTCCGCTTCCTCCTGTGTGATAGACTTCCTCCTTATCTCCCTTTCGGCGAGTGTGGTCTCTGCTCTTCGTCGGCCCTCGTGAGCGATCTTCCGCGTCTCTGCTCTACTAAGCCACCCCATCGTGAGATCGAAAATGAGCATGACGAATGCGGCGGGTAGCGTGACCCAGAACACCGGGCGTTCGTGCGTGCCTTGAGAGGCAGCATTGATCGCTAAGACGGTAATAAGGGTAGCTGCCATGATTGCTGCTCCGAAAATCGCGCCTTTCTTATCCAAGAAGGGATTCAGAACTTCCTCGAGGGACATCTTCTTCTCTTGTTCGTCGTCACTACTGTTTGGATCACCGTCGCTCTCTTCTGGCCCGCTTTTAGCGAAAGGAATGTTGGGATTGACTGGCTTCTTGTTCTGTTGAGGAGCATTTTGTCAGCGTATGTAGCACACCTTTTTTTGGTCGCTTACCTTGAGCTCATCCGGAAGATCCTCCATCTTGATGGATGCAGGGATAAGAGACTCATCATGGAAGATGATGTATAGCAAGAAAGGATACAACACGACTCCTGTAACAAGAACCGGAACGATGATGTTTGCCGTGTACTTGATGAACGTGATCTCAAATGCGCCAGCCAGGACAAGGTTGGTAGGGTTGGAAGACACCAGTATTGCCGATGCGATATTTGCACAAGAGAACTGCGTGAAGATCCAAGCTCTTGGGTGCTTGATGTTGCTTGATACGCGCGTCATATAGGACAGGAAGGCAGTACCAGATAGGATAACCGGGTCGTTTCCAATGAAAGCTGTGAGAAGGAAGAAGAAGGCATACAGATAGAAGAAAAGTCGGTGACCGACTTTTCCTCCCTTCTGCAGCACTTTGAAAGCCAGCCATCTGATGAGACCGGAGGCGTCGACCGAGATGGCGATATAAGCAAGAGAGAGAAAGAAGAGCATGATATCGTACGGCACGATACCCTGATCGCCAAGAGTGCCGCCTTTTACTTCCTTCGCACCAATAGCAAGGATAGCAAGCAGAAAGAGGTCTGCTACCAGTGGAGCTGTAATGAAGTTCATTGGAAAGTCGAATCGAACAAAAGATCCAGGCTTGCCATTCCGGACTCTAGTCGGATGTTGTGGTGGTGGTATGATGCGCAACGCACTCACGATCTTGAGGAACGGGGTCCATATTATCCGTGGGAGATAGATGGGAACGTGGAAAGGAAACAGAACATTGATGTCTATAGGCGTTGAGGATTAGTTGAGTTTGCGACGTCAGTACACACATCCTACTTACTTGTCAAAACAAAGACAATCAGTGTCACTATAGAGCGCCATTCTTTGATCTTACTAGTATCAAGGTCTGGCCTTTCCGATTGGGTGGCACGCTGAGAGATCATTTCGTGTCTTGGAGCAATGCTTGGAAGCCGCCGTGCAAATTGCTTTTGGGGGCAGAAAAACTCCAGGAGGTATCTTGACGGTTAAAGTGCGCCAAATCAGGCTTTTGGTAAGGCCCGATTGAAGAGTGCATGTATACGCTAGACGTTACAGGCGATCTGTGAGCCGGTGTGCCTGGACCTTAGTCGTGACCGTGAGGATCAGTACCGATGCCGAGAGATTGCTTGTGCCATGTGCGAGATGACGCGCGACATGACCCTGGCGGTAGGCAAGTGAGGCTCTTTGTATTGCCTTGATAAGTGCAGGCTAAGAAGCGGTGTTGTAAAAAGGCTTGCTGCCCAGGATGACAAGATGATGGCATCTGGGCGCCGGTTGGGCCGCTAACAACTAGCCCCACCCGTATTCGAAAAGGGTCCAGTCGCAGGCTGGTCATGCCGTCTACTCAGCCTCTCGCCTTATGCAACTGTAGCACGTCAATGCCATATAGTTCACCGGTGGGCTGCATTACCCCAGATCATTGGAGATCTACAGCACACATGGAACGCCTTACTGTCCGGAGGCACACCCGTTTGCGCAGTGCGCATTACCTATGCCGCTACTCTCCCTTTGCGACAGTCCGCTCAGTAATGTCTTCATCTCATCTGCCTTTGCTCGTACTATGTGAGCATCTCGGCAACTCGAGCGCTATCCACTCTTGCGACGCAAAGTGTTGCGACAGCTACTTCAACAGCTACAATGTCTAGCCCTGCAGTACAAGTCGTTTGTGCCTGGCCAATTTCATCCAACTATGGCGCAGGATCGCGTGTTAGTACTCCCCCATCCTAGCATACCCGTGTTGAGCGGGTCTGGGCCTATCAGAGAACTGATGCATGAATACAGATTTTGTACTATGTCCTGGTCGCGGCATGTGTAACTTTTCGCAAAGCCGAATGGCTGCGAAATACGTGCCTTGCTGCCGTCTTGATTCTGCCGGCCATTTCTGCTCTCCAAGCCCTCGTGCTCGCTTCGGCGCATACGAATGGTCAGTACAACAGCCACCAAGAACGTCAAGAACACCCAAGACGAGCGAATCTAACAACGAACTATGTAGGCGGCGTTGATATGGATATATATGGAGTAAGTTCTTGGTATCCAATATACGCGTGTGACGTAATCTGATTTCATGTCTTCACTATGTAGGCTTTCCAGTTCTGCGCGATCGGAATTCTGGCAGCGCCTCTGACTGTGAGGCTGTCGCGAACCTACTTCCAGTCTCCAGGACGCAACATCATATTTCTCTGGACGATACTGATCTTGATGGGATTGTTGGCCCTCTGCGTGGAATTCTACCGGGTCACCTCAACGGCCTGCAGCAGCGATGATGATGGAAACCCTTTTTACGGCACCGCCAACTTCCCATACGAACATGCTAGATGTAACTTGACTTGCTCCGAAAGCGAGGGTCCGATATCTCCAATGCGAGGAGGATCCGCTGCCGACGTCTATGTTATTCCTGTGCCGCGTATCTTGTCCTTCAACGCCGCCATGCTACTTTCTGCTGGATTCTGCATCCCCGCGATATTATCTCTAATATTTACCTGGGATAAGATTTTGGAGATCAACTGGAAGAGGCGACGGCCTGTTGAGCCTCTCAACGCTAGGATTGAGGGTGCGAATATGACTGTTGGAGAGCTCAAAGGCATCAACAACGTCGTGAGGAAGTTCTTGGGCGTCATCGAAATCCCGTTGTTTGGCGGGGTGATTCTCACGATTATCGGGGTTGGCGAAGCGAACTTCTTCAGCCCACAAGTACGATTTATGACTGAGCCCATGGCTTCGATTGGTAAGCAGAGAATCATAGCGATATGCCAGTTTCTAACATGTTCGTTAGGACAATGGTCACCAATAGCTGGAACAATCATGGCTGCCCTTGGTTCTCTCTATATTCTGTGGTCAACCAGCGGCGACGACGACCCGAAAGGGAAGCCCACGAACCAATTCGAGAACTCTGATTCATCACGTATCAGTCGCAGTAGTGAGCGACAACCTTCTCAACGGTATCCTTCGCCCGTGTATCTTGGCCCTGATAGAGAGACGGGGGATGGTCTGGGTATACGATCAGAATCGCCCAACGTTATCGAATTGACCCCGACCATCACGTATCCTGATTCTGAACGTAATACGGGTTCTGCCTCTCAGGCTATTCAGCAAGATACTCACCAACTGGATCAGCCAACAGCTGGCAGAAACCGGATACGAAGTTGGTTGACATCAGCCGGGAATTACCTCGGGGATGCAGCACATGAAAGACTTGATCCAGACCATGAAAGAGTTGATGAGGAGACTCAGAGGTTTCCAGAGGTTCCTGGCGAGATCCTGCGAAACCCCGATCTGGAACGCATCAGTCGAACATACAGTCAGCTTCGCGAAGAAAGGGCAAACAGCGTATACGCGGCAAGCATCATGTCTTCACCAGCGCTTGAAGGTAGTGCATCTCCAGTACCTACGTCTCCGCCACCACACCAAGAACCTCCGCGTCCTGATACTAGTCCATCTCGTCAGCCGAAAAGGCGAGACACACTAGAAGTACCAAAGGGAGGGCATTGAACAAGTGGAAGTCACTGATTGATTACAAGCCAAGCCAGGCTTCTGACACTGTCAGATGCGAGGGAACACTATGTCCTACACCCACTGCCCAGATACCCTCGACGCTTGGACCGAAGTCATCAGTGCGATAGTTCCTCTCTGGTGTATCTTTCTTCGAGCTCGTCGGTGTGGTACTGACACCAAATACATTAGTCCATTGCTTCAACGTCTCATCGTAGTTCTTTGGGCTAAGTGTTCCGTCTACAGAGCCATGCCAAAATTCTGGATACGTCAGTACATGGTTCAAACGCGTCTTGATCTCCACAGCTTACGCATGCGCGGGTGTGTTCCGTTATATCCTGGGTACATTGCCCGAACTACGTCGCCCCAGTGTTGCGCAGTCGAGATGGACTGTCCGCCAGAACAAGTGTTGTTCCACGCTGCTGCTGCCCCAGAAGCGGAGACGAAACACCCAGCTGGCACACCAGAGTACAGTGACACCGCGCTGATGAGCTCGGGATAAGTGGCCGCCAGGACATTACTCATCATGCCACCAGAAGAACCACCGGTCACGAACACTTTCTTAGGGTCGATCTTGTACTTATCGATCGCATACGTAATCATATTCGCGATAGCATTCGAATCGCCGCCACCGTTATGGGACAGCGAAGCCTTGCTGGACACATCCCAACACTCGGTTGTCGAGCTTGGCCAGACTGTTACGTACCCTTTGGTGTCTGAGCCTTTCTTCCAAGGAATCAGGGAGTTCTGGAAGTACTTCTGCGCCGATGATTGACACGAGTGGATTGCCACGACCAGTGCGTCGCTCTTGACTTGATCGGGCACATATACCCACCTTTCGTGTGGTGTTAACTAGATACAAGAGATGAATGGGTTTTACGTACATGCCAGGCTTCGCTCGCGCACTACCGCCATAGTTCGAGACTTGAGTCAATTGCGCAGCGAAAACGCCGGACACAAGAGCGAGGCTTGCAGCAAGAGATTGGATACGCATCTTGGGAGAGTTGAAGGCAGTCAGAATGATGAAAAGGCTCCATTCTGGAACTTGATGGTTATATGCCCATTCACACTCGATTCCTCCACATCAACAGGTGGGGTCGATTGTCATTCGTGGAATTTGGACTGTCCATGCCATCATGTATACTCTGAATGATGTTGCGCCACCTAAGGTACGGTGTTCGTCAGAGTATGTTGTTAGATAGATCCGGGTAAACAGTAAGGTGTTCGTAATCAAGCTCCATACCAAGCATTTTCGCAAATTACCCACATTATTATAACCCTGCACCCCACGTCTATCAATTAGCGACTGCCGGCGCGAAAAATAATGTTTGAATGTCACTGGTTGCTGCATTGTCAGATTTTGATGAGCTCGCTCTAGGTGCCGAACGGAACTTTACGTCAAGTGCAGCGTCTAGACGAATGTCGCATAACCTGAGTGCAATGGCAATATAGGAGAAACCAATGTGTGACGATCTATAACTCTGGCTCCGGACAGAAGGGTAGCTTTGTTGATGTTTGGTACGTTATATGCAGCAGGTATTGGCGGTATGTGGGGAAGCCTTCACAACGTTCACACTCATCGTCATATCGTCTCTTGTCAATTAGTAGTCGGATCGAACCTAGGTGTCATTTGACGCAACCCGAGCCAAGTGTTCCTTTCATAACTCGCTCTTCCGTGCTATCTCATAGTGGAGGCATTTGCGATGTGGAACCTCCTCGCCTCTATCGCTGTACTGCTAGCCCATTATGTTTCCGCCCACGGAGGTGCACTGAACTATACTGTTGGCGAGACATGGTACCCAGGGTAAGATCTTGATATAACAGTCCTTCTAAATAACGACTGTCGCGACCCAACTGACAACAATCCCAGCTACGACCCCTACGGCGATGAAGCCATGCAAGACGCTGCCTCGTGGATGCCACAACGAAAATGGATATCCAACAACCCCATCTTCGAAACCACCAACTCATCCTTGTCCTGCAACACACCCGGCACTCCCGCCCGCGCTTACATACCCATCCTTGCAGGCGAGAATATAACCGCCGTGTACGCGTACTGGGTGCACACCGTCGGTCCTATGATAGCATGGATGGCATACTGCGACAACGCCGACAACGACTGCACGACCTTCTCCAGCGAAACGGCAGACTGGTTCAAGATCGGGGAGAAGGGATTATTGGAAGGAAGCATCGAGACTGGAGAGTGGTTCCAGAAAGCGTTCAGTATGTGGGATGGGAGCCCAAGTTTGTGGAGTGAGAAAGTGCCTGTAGGGTTGAAAGCGGGGAGATATTTGGTGAGGCATGAAATTATTAGTCTGCATTCGGCGAATAGTATGTATATGGTTCTTTCCCAGTCTAATCTGTGTGCAAGGTGCTAACATGTCGTACTTGCTTAGAACCGCAGTTTTACCCTGAATGCGCGCATTTAGAAGTCAGCAACGATGACAAAGGTGTGATTCCTAGCAAGGAATATATGGTTAAGATTCCAGGAGTGTGGAGTATGGATCGTACGTATACGGACGACTGGAAGGAGAGCCTGCAGCTGATCACTAGGAGAACCTGAGATCAATATCGACATCTATAGTCCCGAGATCTCGACGAAGACGGTATACAATATTCCGGGCCCACCCATTTGGTCGGTGGAGACGTAGGTCGCGATATGGAGCGATCGTTGGGCCTGATCATCGCGGGCATGCGTCTCGACGTGCAAATACCTGGAATTACAAATGTGTCAATTCAAAATCTGCACATCAAAATTCATATATCCTCTGTGGCGCAATTGGCTAGCGCGTCTGACTGTTACAGCTTGCAGTAGCAGTCCATCAGGAGGTTGGAAGTTCGAGCCTTCCCGGAGGAGCTGAATTTTTGGCCATGTGTGCGGACCGGGCGGTAAGACTGTGTGGGCTGACGACGGCAATATATTTTTTGAATACTAGAGTTGTGGGTAACGGCATGAAGGAAGTAGCTGCGGAGGATCCACATGAGTGCGCGCTTACATAAAGGGCAAACGTCATCGGCTAGCTAGCGTGCTTGACGCGCTCTTACCTGCCTTTCCTTATCACAACAACGCACGTCAGCACATGCAAAACGCCTCGAAAACAGTAGCCTGTGACGTGATAATTCGACAAAGATTGTTTTTTTTTTTTTTTTTTTTTTTTTTTTTTTTTTTGCAATGATCTAGCTACTATCTGTAATCCTGCACGCCCTCATCGCGTGACGGCGCCATCCTGATCATCACATCAGCATCGACAGGCTTAACGCAGCTTCCGATTCATGCAGGTGCCGAGCACATAACGATTCCACTACAGTTTTCATGCTTGTCCACGCGTTCCGAAATCATCACTGCCTCCCAGCGATCATACGCATGCGTACCCTCCAGTCTTGTTGCGCAAACCGACCTTTACACTGATGCCCGCATTGCTGCCTTTAACACCATCCCTCACTCTAGGAGTCATGTCATCTTTCTCATCAGGCTCTGAGGCAACTTCGACTCCCTGTGTCTTAGTAACTTTCCGATGAAGTCGAGTCGCGGGTATCTTGATGGGTGCTTGCTGGTCTGCGACTTCGTCCGTATCTGTAGGAGCAGACAGTAACTCGGAGTCTTTAGTCAGAAGAAGAGTTGCGATAGGACGCGTTCTCAGTGTGGGTTTCGCAGATGGCGATACATCAGATACGTGTGTTGTAGGCCTGCGGTCATCCTTAACAGCGTATGTTAGTCTAACTGATGGTCCTAGTAGATGGCGCTCAATGCACGGTACATGAGCCATATGATCCAGCTGCAATACCTACAATTTCTCCATCCCCTGCCAGGGATATCTCGTCATCTCTCAATGGTAACTCCTTAGTCTCCAGTCGGCCAGCAGCACGCTCTCGTTCGCGACGTCTCTGGAACGCAGCTTGGTCCTGGAGTTTCCGCTGGCGTCGCTTTTGATGGCCGGTCATGCCCTCCCACTCTCTCGACAGTTCTTGCCGCTCCGCATTATCTGCCAATGCTGCATCGTATTCGGTCTTGAATACCTCGAAGATGAGCTTCCATTTGATTTCGGTGGTGGGGTAGCCGTTGCGCGCGTCCCTAATGTCAATGTTGAAGCCCTTCAGATACGGATGCTTGGCGCATCCTTTAGGGGAGATGCACTGGAAGCGCTGGCCACATACCACGACTTGGCCGTATGTGTCTGACTTTCTGTCTTTGTCGACAATGGGAGCAAGACACCAGCAAAAGTGCAGCGCGCTGACACATCTCATGCTTGGACTGCCGCCACACTCCTTGTCCTCGCAGTGATGCTATGTTTGAAGCTCAGTACTTTCTTCGTATGAGCTCCGCCAATTGCGGTCACTTACAGCGCTGTGCATTTTCTCCTTGGTGCGAATGTTTCTCATCATGGCGACGATGCTCTCATTTTTGACATAGCTGCCGTATATCTCATCCAGATCCAGGGCGCTCTGCCGCGCGTAATTAGGCATTGCTGTGGCGATCGCATTCGGTATTCACTACGTGGTAGTAGCTGATATGTACTGCAGCTGGATGAATAGAGTCGGGGAAATCCTGTCAGTAAGTAAGATTCTGGCCTCCGGCGGTAGAACGCAGGACATCTAATGGTCATTGCAAGAGTTGCAGGTCTCCGCAACAACAGGCACTGTTTATCTGCTCATTGTTGTTGTTGCCTATAGGTTCACCTAGCTTGGCTCGTATACTCACTCCGACTATCGCGGACGTCATCCGACTATCGGAGATTTGCTCCTACGTATCAGGCTTGTCTTGAACCATATCTTGCATAGATGCCCTTGACTACCCGTATATGGGGGTCAAGCTTGCTGATAATATAGAATGAGCTTACTACTAACCTGATCGAACTCTACGTGGACGCTGATAGTAACCAAGACAACTCCAAGTTCATCGTCCTCGGCCGCGGTCAGTCATTTCACGCGACTCGATTAGCACTTGGCTAGGATTACAGTGCGCAATCAATACTGCTCAGATAATTCTCGAGACGTCGGCCGCGGTACACTATCTGAGGCATCGTTACCGAGTCTTTGGTCTTACGCGATATTGCACAACTGTTCCGCAAACTGGGCTCAAATAAACTTGCTCCATGGCAGTCAGATTCAAGGTTCGCACGTGCAAATTAACCATGGAAGAGGATTGACGGGTAGATCAAGAGCCGATTCAACCCACAACTAAAAACTTGTTCTGCAAAGCCCTAACAGATGGGGAGAGGTATTGTACCTTTATCAAGTGAGAATGGTCAGCAGAGTCGCAGTTGCCTCGGTAGCGCATGGTTCCCTCGCTTCCGCCACCCACCAATCCCACGGATCCAGCAAAAAGGCGCGATACTCTCGTATTTCCACCTCGAGAGCAACGCGCATTAAGAAAAAAGCCGTAGCAGTTCTCCGCTCCTAGAATCATACTAATGATCTTGCTTATCTTCGATCATTAAAAAAAAAGAACTGATCTCCCCACCATGAGTCGAACAAGGGACCTTCTGATAACAGCAGATATTACAGTCAGACGCTCTAAACCAACTGAGCTACGGGGAGAATGTTTCGTATCGAAACCGTGCTTAGTTTGATTGATGAGTCAGCCTAAAAATAAACCATTTATATATACAATTTGCAGGTACTGAAAGGAAGCGGAAAGGTTCGAATGGTTGTGACGCGCATGTATATAGGTTGCGAAATGACTCGTGATGTGGGGCAGTGGTGGCCAGAACCTCATGAGCAAACCAAACATGAGGTCTGTAACACAGTCAAAACCAGGCAGACACCTGCGGGTCATGCTTTGAATAGCCGTGTAAAGAGAGACTAAACTCACCATTGCGCAGTGGATCCATGTTCCAAAAGCTAGACGACGGCAGCGCATATTGTCCGATAGGCTCCTCGACCTTGATACTCTCTTCCGGAAGTTCCGTCTCCTCAACTATGTATTTCTGCCCCAAGAGAAGTTCCCAGGGAAGTTCCCAGGGACCAGCGACCCAGGTTTTGCCACATCTTCAGTGGCAGCTGGTCTTTGTAGCTCTTTCTAGGCACTCCTTGAAACGCCGACCAGAAGTCACCTTCTTCTATACTAACCATGAAAGTCGACAATTGCATCATGACCTCGAGATTTATCTCAAGTTTGTACTGGGTAGATTTGCACCGGACCGCACGTGCCTTCTTTTCTCCAGCGATCAACAACTCTCCCATACGCTGTTGCGCATCTTTCCTGAACTTGAACATTTCTCCAAGGGCATGATCCGTAGGTAATGGAAGTTCGATCGGTGTCATCGGTGACATTGTCTGGTGCTCCTCTTCGTGAGAAGATGTCACGCCAACGAAGCCGATAATCGGGTGAGATGCGCAGCTTTTCTTGCATCGCAAGTCGCATGCTTCAACAAGAGCGTATGTGACAAACGCAACCTCGTTTAACAACTCCAAAACGTTCGTAGAAAGACGCAGTAATACACAGGATCGTCGTGATACTGTCCTCCAGTCATGCGCATAGACTATACTGTGATTGTTGGATACATCCATGTGCCCGAGTTTCGCGGAAACACAGCCTTGGAACGCTCGCAAAGCCGGTTGGAAGGACGATCGGTCGATGCTCTTGTACAGACTATGACTTGAATCGCAATATTTCCAGTCCAGATAGCAATCCAGTTCCAAATTGGTACGATCATGCATATGCTTGTCTTTCTGTCCCTTGATCAAATAACGGTTGTAGCATTCCGCAAACCTGAAAGGCTCCCACAGAACTTTGCTGTCTAGTATGTGCTTCAAAAGTTGCCATGCCGTCAGATCGTAATCAATCAAACTGCTAAGCTGCAGATCCTTTTTCCTGTCGCCGACGAGACCGAGTAAAGCGAACACACCATCTAGGGGCATTGAACAAGGCAGCATGCCAAAGTCCGCAAACAACGACTCAAAGGTCCGTCGCACGTTTTCTCTTCGCAGACGTATCAGATCGAATGTTTTGCTTACACGCAGTGAATCCGGCGTGTTATGGAAAGGCCAACTGACTACAATGCTTTCGAACTCACGGTAAGAAAGCTTGTACCTCCCCACTAAGATCATAATGTCTTTGGCCAGTAGAAACTCTTGCACGATCCACAGTCGCCCCCAGTACTCTCTTTGTACTATACATTCGGATTGCTCACTCCGTCGTAGACTACGACGCGCGTCTCTATCACGCCAATGTACGAGATCTTTCATCCGGTGTGTGTCGAGCATGCTCGTGTAAGGCAATCGGTTGATGTTACCGAGCCAACAATAGACGCATTTGGTGCCAGAGTAGATCCGCTTCATCTCTTGAACCTGATGACTCCGCTCTTGCACATCATGTTGGTTGATGCATATAGCATCCAGCCATATAACTTGCGATCGGTACCGGCTGCGGAACGCTTCAAGAAACCGAAAAAGGTTTTCGCGCACTTCGAAAGACTTTCCGTCCAGCAGTATAGACTTTGTTGGCTCAGGCGGACCCCAAACGTATGAGCCTGCGAAATACTGATCTTCCTCAGCCGATATTGAAGCAGTGTACAGCTCGCATTGCAGGGAGGAGTTGAACCTCAAGCTAGGTAGTACACGTAGAAGTCTAAAGCTGTCGCCGTCTTTCGGAAGAGGTGAGTATCGTAAAGAAGCAGGGTTTGGTGTGTCTATTAGACTCGGTACCACTTTGGGGGCTGTAGTATCTGTCGACATGGTGGACGGTAGATGTTCATGATTCGAATGTGAGACAAATGTTGTAAGGAGAAGGTGCGGCTGAGGGAATCCGTGTTAGCAGCCGATGTTGGGGGCCATTATCCCCACCAACCATGACACCGGCTGAAAGCAACTCCTTTTCAAATTGCACGGTCCCCATACTCGCCTCTCGTTTGACACTCGGAGACATCGTCGTGCCGGGACCAACTCATGATAATTCCTTGTCGAACCGCATTGTGAATTGGAATCTATTGTATACACGTAATCCTCACAGCATACAGGACATGCGCAAGGCTGTAATTCGTTAAAAGCAATGATTCTTGCCATGATGCGTCGCGATGCGAAGCAGTTTGCTTCGATTTAGCAGCATTGTCGTTAGTACTTCGGGACGTATTTGAGGCCACCTGCTTACACGTCTCGTGGAACCCCAACATCCTCACGCCTGATCAACGACTCTCTTACTGCTAAGTCGTTGTAGTATCCAGATTGGTAAGAACAACATATCATGTCCTCATCAAGAACCCCAGAAATTCTCCTCATACCTGGCGGCTGGCACAAACCTCAGTCCTACGCGACAATGCGCCATGCACTCACCTTCGCAGGTTTCATTCATATGACGAAGGATATGACGATTCCGTACGATTACCAGAAATGGCTTGTCGAGAGTATGAGGAAGGAGGGTGCGAGAGTACAGACTGCGATGTTAGAGACAGAGCACTGTCCGAATTTGACGGCAATGGAAGGTGTGGTGGGTGTTCTGCGGCAGGTAGCTGCTGGTGAGCAACTAGAAGAAAAAGAAGAGATGGAAGATATCGTAAGTACAGAGCGGGTGCAAGATGCTATTGCAGTTATCGGAGCCGAGAAACCTTGGTGTCTATGAGGGATACTAAGCCAGGTCATCCTCCGAATCCAATGAAGTCGCCATCCTTCCATTGTGACAGCTCTTCCACCTTCTTTTCCCACTGATTTATGAACCATATTGGCTAAGTTCTCGCACGCTTGTCATACCTCTGTCGGAGGTTCTTCGAGACCGTGCGAGCCGAATGCAGGTACGTCGCTCTGAAAGCGTCCCAGAGCTGTCGATCTTCCTCGCTTCTGGTAGTCGGATCGGACAAGTATGGACTGTTGCAAGTCACCGCTGTGATCAATTGTTGTATCGCGTCTTCGTGTCGTTCGAACGAAAGTAGGGAGGCTTTGTCAAAGTCGAGGACGTAGAGGCGCGTGCGTGATGCCTTGTGGAATGGTTGTTCTCGTCTTGAGCTCGACTTGGAGACTGGTGCGCTGGAAATGAGATCTTCTGACGGAGTGTAGAAGGGCTCGAAGAGGTATCGCGGTCGTTCGCATTTTTGCCTTGTAGTTTGTCCCAGTCGTTCTATCTGCCAACTACAAATTTCAATACCCATACCATCCACATTGGCCCAGTGCGAGTATCAGGCTCGCTGCGTACGCCTCTCGCATTACATCGATTGGGTGTTTGTGCGGCATCGTGATAGTTGTGCTTAGAGGTATTCGAGGTCAGAACCGCCTTTAAAGTGCTTGTAAAGTTTAACGTATCTTCCAACAGATGCGATGCGTGCGCCGGGAGCTATCCTGGCTGATTTAGCTCTTCTCATTGTGAGCCATGGTTATCATGCTGTGGTTCTCAAATCTAGGCATGCCTATTGGGAGCAATGGAAGAACGCGTAAACGTCATTCTTCGTCTCTCCTCGAATCCTTCGTACTGGTGTGAGGGACTGCGGAAAGCTGGTGATCTACGATGGTTTAAATGTGCGCATATCGAGTTAGTCTGAATAGACCGGCCGGTGGGAATCCTGTCTACGTGGTGGTCGTGTTGACGTTCGTGTCCGCAAAACACAACGGGCTCGCACATGGATCGTGCAGCTACCTCATCATAATGGAGCTAGGCTCGAAGCGGACAACATGTGATTGCGCGACACCGCGCACGCGCGTTTGAGCCAGCAGTTGATACCATCGAACGCATGCTGCACAATGCAAAAAAAAAAACTATGACATATGCTGGGAGGCGGTATGCCATCTGATGAAGTTGATTACAGCGATTCTTTCGATCATATGTCACCACGATGACCCGTAACAGGACCAACAAGGACGATGAACACGGTGCTACTACAGAGTCTACATGCAGCACTCCCTTCATGTAAAACATCTCTCTGCTTTGATTCGAGTCGTGTTTCGTACATAGTCTGGCAAATACCAGCTTGCCATTCTTCTAGCGTATGGCAGAACTTTGAAGCTCGTACGTCTATTTATACACATCTTCACGGTATCCTGTACATGTTTCTTCGTCATGATCAACCTCCTCATATAACCTTATTTAATCCTCAACAAAGAACCTCGCTGCAAAGACGACGTCACTCTCTGTAAACACTCCGAGCCTCTCGCTCTTGACCTGCCTTAGGATACCTTGTTTGTTCTTCTTGTCCTTGCTCTCCGCATACGCGATTACGCAGTCCCTGTTCAGCGGTGGGTTGTCGTTGGTCTTCAGGCGGTCGGGGCTGCGCGGCTCCTTGGGCAAGGTATGGTGAGTAATTTTGCGCTTCTTCGAGGCTGAAGACCGAGATGAGAAGGGATTGTGAAGTGAAAGTTGGGGTGTTGCAGAAGTTGAAGCGAGCTTCATCGGAGATGGAACGTGATTGCCGCGTCGGCGTTTAGGCGTGGTTTTGCGCTCGGTTGAGCCATCTGCCTGTGGGATGGGAGCAGGAGATAACTCAACGGATGCTTGAGGCAAACTTGTGTATGTCGTAGGTTCCATCTCGGGCTCAGGGGTCGTATGGAGGCTCGAGAGAGGGGATGATGTATCGGTATCCCATGCTTTGGGAGTTTGAACAGTCGGCACTACGGTATTAGGCAGCACTGCCACATCAGATGCATTTCCATGCTTTTTAGAAGGTCGACATCGTCGCAGTCGCGCAGATGCCTCACGCAAAATTTCTTCTGGATCCTCAAACCAGATTGGATTTGCCTTTGGGCCTTGTACACCGAGTATGCTGTTACTAGAGGTTGTGCGACGAGAAGACCTTTCCTTTGTGACACGCAGATTTTGATTGCTCATATCGGTACCAGGCTGATCACTATCGGACCTGGCCTTCGCAACCTTCTCCGGCTCGTGCTTCAGCTTGGATTTCTTAGCATTAACAGCGTGCTGACCAGTCAAGGCGTTTGCTTGGAAAGCACTGATTGGCTGATGCTTGTCCGCAGCCATAGATAGGTCTGGATTTTCGTGCTCTGAAGATGATGCGGGTGCTGGTGTTCCTTTCCGGACAGAACTCTTCCGTGTTCTGGAAGTGCCTGTGAACGTCCTTCCCTGCTCAACAGGATTTTCGTGTTCCTTGTCGCCATGGGTCACTGTCTCTTGAGTTCCAAGTTTAGCTGGGCTATTGAGAGACACGCCAATATGCTGTGCAGGGTCCCATCGGTGGTCCACCAATATCGAATCCTTTTGTCCATGAACTATCAAGCGTTTGACCTCGACGCTGGACTTCGCCTTCTTTGTCTTTTGTGAGGAAGAAGCTTTCTGTGGAGAGAGACTTCGCTTTGGCTTTGTAGGTACCGAGTATAGAGCTGCTGGCGGTAATGGCAGCGATAGTCGGCGGTCGAACGGCGGAAAGGGCACTTGCGGCGGCGTAGACTTCTGAAGCCCAGCAAAAGCTGTAGCCTGTGGCAACATGTTCGGCTTGTAGACCTCAGATCTCCTAGCGAAAGAAGGGCCGGTTCCAGACATATTGTAGTTTGGGAGTGAGAAGTGGATATTAGGAAAGTTACTGCATGGTTGATTAGACGAGGAGTATGCATACAGACCGGACCTTGAGGAGTTATGTTGAAGTCCCGGTATCAATGGAGGGAAAGATGACACAGCCGAATGACTTGGGCCCTGGAGGTTCATTGGAAAGCGACTCAACGGACTGGAAGATTGGCCGTCGTTGTCGAACGGGATCTGACGCATGAGATCATTAGGCGTAATTCCTCCTAGAGTTGGATCTGAGAATTGAACGACATATGGTGAGAGACGCATTTGGGGCGTCTGTAAGTATGGAGAAATATCTGGATACATCATCTTCGGACTAAGCCCTGCTTGCGACGTGATGTCCACTTGTTGCTCGTATGCTCTTTCTTGCTCATGAGCCTGCGCATGTACTCGTGCAAGACCTGATGACGACGGCAAATCTGGACCTGTTATTTCTGGTGCTTGGAGCACCGTAGTCTTCGGTTCAATATAGAGAGGTGGTGGAATAAACGGTATCAAAGGACCCATGGCCGGGTGCTGTAGAGCCGATGATGGAACATGTGGTATGTCCTGTGTCAAGCGTACTCTTGACTGAAGAGCCTGTCTCTTGCTGTAAGAATCATAGTCCGGATCGCTATCTCCTTCTGCATCCACATCGATGACCTCTGAGCTCGGCTGGGTGGAATTTTGGGGCTCCGCATCACTCTCGCTCTTACTAGGCGTATCTGTACGTAGTCGCATGGTAGTGTTGTCAGCATCGGGCACGAATGGGTAGCTCTCATCAACCATGCGCTTCGGTGCTTTCAGATAGCCTACACCGCTAGTGAGCTTTCTACCTTCGCCAGCAGTGATGATCACATCGATGATGCCAAAAGTCTTTCCACCCGGCTTCTGCATATTGCGCACTTGGTCCGGCATTTGCATTGTCGCAAGCGCACAAAGGAAGTCGACAGTGGGAGGCCTGTTGCCCTCTTCGTCTTGGCCTCGCTCTCGCGCTTCGATTTGGAGCGCCTGACAAAGGTGTAGCCATCGCTGCTCAACTGAAACCACTGTGGTGTTCTTCTTAGTATCGCCGTCTGCTGCCACTTCAGGCGACAGGATCACCCAAGGTCGCTCAGCAAGGAAGTCGATCCTGGTTCCCCCGAAGACCTGATGATTACTTTTCGCTCCGGACCTGACATCGTGGGTGGGTATAAATAGACAAGCGGAGAGCGTCCCATTGAAGAAGACCTCGATCTTGAGGGATGTTCTCTGATTGTAGAGGCCAGAGACGTAGGTCTTGTCGGAGAGATTAACGTGGAGGGCAAGTGCTTTCGGTTCGCGGAGTGAGGCGGCATCTGTGAAGCCGTGGTCAGTTGCAGTAATGCTATCGGGGATGTGGACAAACAGCGTACCTGTCGTCGCTTCCGTCTTGTCATATACATTGTTCTTGACCCGGGTCTGCATGAAAGGTGCGTTTGCGACCCAATTGAGCTGAAAAGCGTATTCATCATCGGGGAAAGGCACGACTTCCTCTTTCAGCAACTTCCTCTCTAGGAGCCTCCTTTCAGCCAATTCAGACTGCTGCTTGGCTGCGTCGCCCTTCCTTAGTATGATTTTCTGTGTAGTCGAGTCTTCGAGCGGCGTCGCGCTCAGTCGCACCGACACGCCACGCGCGAAATAGGTAGGCATATTTAGAGCAGGTGAAGGAATGTACAAGTATTATAACATGGCTGTCGCGAGAAGCAAAGCCGCGATGCCTGGCGACTGGGTGATTTCTAGGCGATTGAGTGCGCTGATGCCGTCTATAGTGTGCCGAATATGGCGGGGTTCGGGGTAATCGTTGTGGTGACCGAGCGCTGTTGTTGTCGCGTGACGTATATCATGGGTTTCCATTTTGGGTAGGCGCCCTCCAGTGCTCTTTCCACGCATCCTCACCGCAGCCAAGATTCCCGTGCTCCGATGTCCCTTTCAGCCACGACCTCAGATGTTCTATAAAAGAGCATCTCACTCTATATTGCCACTGGAGGTTAGGCGAGAAAGGAGAGAGCCCACGATCTTCGGGTAGGCCGACTCAATGACGAGAAACATAATGAGAACATCGGGAGCAGACTTCATGGTAATATATGACAGCAGAAAGGGATACCTACGAAACGAAATCGCATTGAATAGTGCAATCTCCCTGCAATGCATTTGTAGGAGCTCACAGCTCTATCTCACCCCCAGACTCGACGAAGCCACCACCACTTCTTTGCTGTTCAGTGCCATTGACGCCCCAATCATCAGTGATGATACCGATCGGTGGGCCGCCTAGGACATCGCCTAGCTCGCCTATTGTCTTCTCATACACGCTCGCAACACCACGCTCTTCCCATTCGTCGTCTTCCTCATCATCGTCATTATCTTCAAAACCTTCAAAGGTCACGGTGTCTTGACGTCCACCTGTCTCTCCCTCTCCTTCGGTATCAGTATCCATGGCCTCACCAACGTCATCCTCGTCGCCGACTACACTGTCCCCGCTCATGACTCGTGTGACGGTAAGCCGAGTCCGATCTACAATACCCTTCAAGCGAACTTTGTCTGTTGTAGTGATTGTGCGGCCATTCTCAAAACCAGGCAGATAATCGCCAGACGCAGTGTCGTGGCCAGTGAGTAGGGAGGAGAAGGCGTAGTCGAGCTTCGAAAGTAGGCGGAAGGTAGCCTGGGCAGAACGCATTGAGGACCCGAAGAGAGGGAGGAAGTCGGCGGTGAGGACGGCGAAGTTCAGTAGGTAGGGAATTTGGAGATTGGCTACATATCTTACTGTTAGCGAAGCTTGTTTCCAGGACGAGAGCGGGTAGCATACGTGACCCAGATACCCAGACAACATCTACTAGGCCGTCGAGATCTTTCGCGACCTCCCAAAACGCTTTGTATCCTTCCTCCTCGCCCGGTACAGGCTTGAGTTTGCGGTTCGTCATGCGATTGTCCACTCGTTTCTGGATTCGGTTGACGCCATGGTCGAGGTATCGTATCAAGTCAGATTCTCTCGGCCCGCCAGGCTTTAGTGGATGTTTGCGTGGTTGTGGAAGAGGTGACGCATGCTGAGAAGGCGCCACGGATGACGCTGGCGGGGTAGGAATCTCAGGCATGCTGACTGTATGCTTTCGCGTACGATTACTGTGTGATATGAAGGGAAGTCTTGCGCACTGTGTACTGCTAAGGTGGCAGATACAGATGTAAGGTGGTGAGTAAGCTGTGGGGTACAGTCGTCATTCTACGCTGAAAGATGAGCGTGCTCCCGTTTGTCGCGTGCGTGCGAGGATGGATACGACTGATGTCCTTTCAGATGGAGGCTTGCACACGTAGATGTTGCGCGTAACCTAGACGTGGAGTTCCTGATGATGAAATGACGTTCACAGGTGGTAGCTGCGTTGCTGCCATAGCTCCCACCCTGTTCACATCACCCCGCAACACTAACATCAGAGCGTCTTCCAGCTTTCGCCAGATCTCCAGATTCGCAGGCACTTCAATTGTAAAGAGGTCGTCAGCAAACTTAGTCATTCTGGCTACTCCTCGTGCTCACGTGCCTGCACATCTTTTCGCCAATCTGTTATTAGTGCCTTCTCACAAATCAAGTTTTACCGGAATACTTCCAGCACGCTAGGCAGCGCCTTCGACAAAGACTCACAATGCGTCTTTTAATGGAAACGATCATTTTTCCGTAAGAATCGCAACACGACGGGAAAGTTGCACATTTCGGAGTTGCGTTGCTTCGGAGTTCAGCTGCTATTCCGTGCTACCAATATGGCAAAGTAAGACGCCTACGACATCGGCCCGCAGAACTGCTGCCCCTGAGTGGACAGCGGGACATGATTGCGCTGATTAATCCCCAGCGCCCTTCTTGAGCGCTGTGCGTGCGCCCTACATGCCAATGTCGACATGCATACCCGATTAAGCCACCAACCTAGCAATCTCACATGCTCACACGCGGACAATCTGAATCATTTGCAAAGTCACCCCTTTTCTAGAGGTCTTTTCTAGCTGCAAGAGAGGAAAATTTGCTAACAAAAGCAACATCGGAGTGCTCCGATGGTTGGACGAGGTTGAAACGCGACATTTATTGACTCTACCATTTAACGGCATAACGTTGAAAATTTGCAAAGAGACCAATGACACAACGTATCCACTTGTCGTGTACCTTCAACGCGAGCAGTCAGGAACGTGTCGCGCTTGGTCTACTTTTATGGTATGAGATCGTGTAGGGCTGCTTTGAGGCTCCAACTGACCGCTAGAGTACCGCCATGGCTGATCGGTGCGCTCCAAGCTAATGCGATCATGACGGAAAAGATCCCAGAACCTGGCTAAAGCGCCTTCGAGACCGTTGACATGGTGGAGACTTTCTGATGTCGTCGTGTACTCAGCTTCGAGAGATGTAGATGCCCGCACCTACAAGGGCCTAGCGCACAACGCTATCGGCGTATAGGGCGTGGTTTGTGGTGGAGGATGGGTGACTCCCCCGGTTGGCGAATCCGACGGCAAACCTGCAAGCGCATCTCTCAGTGCATCATCCATGTGCAGCCTGCAACCCTTCTCATCACTTATCCAGCCCTGGTACTGTGCCGCTTGTAGATGACTCAAGACAGGGCGTGCCTGATTGTTTTGTATAAGAGAACCTGAGGCCCACTCATTCACAGCCCTGGAATACAGACATCTTATCTTCACTCGCCACCAAGACTAGTCTGATCGCTTCCTATTCGCACTACCCCAGCTCTCCGCATTCGGGACGTCTTATCTGAGGATCACAACCCCGCTTTTCGTGTGACTATTCCTTGGCTGTTGCTTTCAGCACGCTGGTCTTGAGACACGCGACATCTTCAACATGCCTTCTTCATCGAGCGCGTCGTCGTTTGCGCCGCCAGACAGGATGCAATCACTTGGGAGCCAGATTGGTTACAAGGTTCGCAACATCTCGCATTATGGCGAACCAACAATTGCGATCGACCTCAACGAGACTGGTGGCCACAGTCATAAGTTCATCACAAGCTATTCTTCGATGGATACTATCGAAGGCACAGTCACTATAACCGCACCGCACGACATTCGCTTTGAGGATATCGATATTGCATTCATCGGTAAGAGACGACTAGTGTTTTGGGATTAATGGTCATGACCTAACGCAGCACAGGTACAAGCCAGGTATACGTCGACAGGATGACAACCTCCCCCACCATGACTGGGCGGACAGAGGCAAAGCACCGGTTTTTGACTCTTAGACAACCAATAGACGAATCAAACCTCCCCACTCCAAGAGTATTTGAAGCTCATAGAGCTTACAAGTTCCCATTCACATTCACCGTCCCATCGCAACTACTTCCAAAGGCCTGTTCACATAGTGTAGCCTCAGACCACATCCGCGACATGCACCTTACGCTTCCACCGAGCATTGGAGATCCTGATCTTGCTGGCTTTGGCAGTACATTACTCGATGATCTTGCACCGGAGATGTCAAAGATCACTTATGGGATTCAAGTCAAGATCGCGCAGAACCGGGGATCAGAAGGCATGACGCTGCTTTGTGAAAAGTTGAAGAAAGTTCGCGTCAAGCCAGCTTTTCCAGAGCAGCCTCCGCTGAACATTGATCACAACGACGAGTACCGATCGCGACAGGAGAAGACAGTCAAGAAGGGTTTGTTCAAAGGAAAACTAGGAACCTTGTCAGCGAAGACCGTACAACCGCCACCCCTTGTCATACCAGGCGCACGCACAGAAGGAAGATTAATCACGACCATGGCCAAGTTGATTCTTCGATTTGATCCGACAGAAGAGACCAGCACACCACCGAAGCTCGGCTCGTTGTCGACGAAAATGAAGGTCTTGACCTACTATGCATCACTTCCCCGACAGAATCTCCCAGCACGATCAACCCTTGGCTTCGACCTATCGCAAGGACTATACTCCGAATATGTACCCCTATCGAACCTCTGCATTGCTTCCGCCCAATGGGAAAAGCACGACTCGGCACAAAATCCCAGCCCAGAAAGCCTAGTCAGACGCGATTCCGGCATCAGCGACTGCTCAACTATGAGCGAAGCAGAGGAAGCCTTCGCAATGGGCATTCTACCTGCATCCAAAGACTATAAGCAAGGCCTGTTCTATACCGCTCAAATACTCGTTCCGATCACCCTTCCCACAACACAAAACTTCATACCAACATTCCACTCCTGCCTCATCTCACGCACATACACACTTGCACTGCAGTTTTCCGCCCACGGCAGTTCAAGCATACATCTTAAGGTTCCCGTGCAGATTTGCGCTGAAGGCAGTGACACTGGTATCGAGAATGCCAGGGCCAGGAGCGTGGAAGAGACTGCCTTAAGGGCTGCAGCTGACGTCTTTGCGCCGCGCAGTGTTGCGCCTCCGAGTTTCGAGACAGCGAGGAGCGCGAGTGTTGGGGCGAGAGACGATATGCCGCCTGGATATTCAGCGTTTGCGCCGTCGACTACGAGGTATAGTGTGAGTCACTCTATTATCGCTTGAATATGTTGTTACGGCAAGAACGGTCACGACGATGGGAAGAGCTTCATTGCGCAACAAATTGGCGACGAATGAGACATGTCCTTGATACAAATTGATTTTGGTTTCGGGCGTTTGGCAGAAGTGGTACCAGGAGTTTTCGTCACAATCGCAGCTTACTCTCAATTCGAGTAGCTTCTTTTCATTACTAGATCATCAACTAGATACCCAGTATACCCAACAATAAACATAATACATTGAAATCTCATTGGTCGTTCTTGCCTCCGCCATTACCCAGGTCATAGATCGTGTGATGATGGCTTGGCGTGTCCGTGCTCCTCGCGCAGTTTCCCAATCACCCGACTCAGTCATCAGCACAACATCACCCAATCATCGTTCTTCATCAAGACAATCAAACTCAACAATGGCTGAGCATCCTTCTTTCACATTGGCAGGCTTGTGTAAGTGCTGCAGGGGGTCTGCGTATCCAGAAGCTGACTGAAAGATGCAGTGGCTGTCGGAGGAACCGCGGGTTTTCTCCGAACACGCTCAACACCCAGTCTTGTCGCTGGACTCGGATTAGGTGCTTCGTATGCTTTTGCAGGTTAGTACTCCAGCACATGTGCTTGTGACATCAGCTGACTTGCGATCGAAGGTTACCGCATCAAGCAGAATCAGGACTACGGTACTGAACTCGCGCTTGGCAACAGTATCATGCTGCTAGGTTCGGCTATTCCACGCATCATGAAGACGGGCGGACGCGCACCTGTACCGATCGCATTGGGTGCGACCGGTGCGTTGGCGACTTATTACTACCAGAAGAAGGTCCGCGAGTTTAGGTATGGCGTATGAGGAGGATCAAGGCTCCACCAAGCGAGGACTTGCATGAGGACGACGACCATGTACGATTACGCGGGACACCTTTCCTATCCTGCTTCACTTCTAAGTATCAACACTCCACTCCCGTCTTTTTCCACTGAGTACATCCTCTTCTGTGCCTTCTTCTCATCTTCAATGCTTTCCAACTGCGGAGTTTGCTGCGCAATCATCATCATACCGTCAAGCTCCACCCACGGACCCGGCGCCATCCAGTACCGCAACGTTTGATACATGCCAAAGCAGAAAGTCAGCAGCACAATCACGAGAATGGCGACCGCTGCCCACTCCCATTTCAGACGCGGACTAGATCCATACAGCTGCCACTGAATGGGGTAAGATGAGATTTTCTCCTCGAGTCGAGCAGGCAGAGACGACGGGAGAGGAGACCAGTACTTATTACTCGTGCTGAGAATATTCTGCAACAGTACACCAAAGATAACAGACAGGCCCATGGCGTCGGAATTGACTACCGGATCAGCGGTCTGCAAATTGCGGCTCATGAGCAGAAATTGGGGTAGCAGTCCTGTCGAAGGGACCAAAGGCTCAAGTCTCGGCATGACGTCGTGCGCCTGACCCCCCACACCACGGGCAACATCCAAGTCGCTTGTAATTGCTGGTTCGTACACGATATTTTGATGCCATTCAGCACCATACCCGTTGAAGCTGAGATCAAGGCTTTCACTATCAACAATCCACACACTGACCGCGTACTTTCCATGCCGAAAGGTGCTGGAACACACGGCGCCAGTAAAGCCCAAGGAAGAAACTGGTCCAAGGTCGATTGAGATTACTGCTCCAGACGCGTCGTTCTCAGTTGGCGGCTGAACGTCGATCGAACCCTCCGAACTTGAGGAGACAATTGGCGTGCAGACTGTATTGAGCACTGGCAGCACTAGCGTCAAGTTACCGGTCCAGCCAATAGACGAAGATGTCGGTTGATGTCTCGTCTTCTTGAGCCAGTCATAGATATTCGTTATCTGCCCATCATCCGCTGATACCGTCTCGACTACTCCATTGGAACGACCGAAATCGGTATTGAGCGCGGTCCAGCGCTTCCATGGATCTCCGTCCAAACGGTAATCGTAAACATGTCGCCAACCTTTCTGACTTTCTCTAACCGTTGACACCATATGCGTTAAGCCGACAAAAGTAAGAGAAGCAGACATGCCAAGCGCCCAGTCCCATAGAGGGTAGCCTTCCCCTCCGATGTTTGATTGACCGACACCGACCATATTCTCCCAGTCCACGCCTTGCAAAAGCACTTTGGGGTACTCGATATGCATAATTTTTCGATCGCCTGGCGTCGTTCCCCATTTCGCTTGCAAGTTAGGGTACCATCGCTTCTTCGGTATTGCAACAGTGTTGATAGCGAGACCTTGCAGCATAACCGAGACAGATACGCAAAGACAAAGAAACAAACGAAATACGCTTCTCCAACTCCATCTCCAACTCGACCTCCGGCCCCTTGTGATGAAGCTGGCAACAGTCATCCAAGGCTTCGTCAACTCATCCTTCAATCCAAAGTCATTGTACGTCGCACCGTGTCTATCGCCCACCACAGCAGGAGCTCGCGCCATCCAGACTGTGAGAAGAAAAGACGCCATGTACTCCAGAGAGCTCACCAGGATTACGTCCAGACTTTTATTGAAGAAGCCGAGGAAGGCTAGCTTGAGATCCGCGTCCACTTCTTCACCGAACACACGACTGAGGCCTATGGAGATGTATGTGCGCGTTGCTCCGAGTGTGATTCCGGCAGTAATGATGCCAGTGGCGACGATGCGGATGGTTATCATCCAGTAGTCGAAAAGCTTGAGTTGCGGTCGCGTTACGCTCGCAGGACGCCGTCTGGCTTCGAGGAATGCCGCATTGGCTTTAAGATATGTCGCGTTGGCAGCCGCGGCAACTTCCTTTCTACGTAAAGTCAGTATTGTTTACTCACAGCTACCAGATCATTACATGAGGATTGTCAAAACTGCTGCTCCGTAGTCGCGCTTCCTGCGCGCTATTGTCTTTGTCGGGGCCTTTGAGGCCATGCTGTTGGCCTTTACACACGTCGAACTCGAAACATTTGGAATACGTCGGAAGGCTGTTCACCCGCAGTTGTAGTTGAAATGAGAAGGAGGTTCGTGGCCGACGCGTCTCTCACGTTACGCGAGCATGAGGCTGAAGGATCAATAGGGTGGAGACGTATGCGTGTTGGCCCCATGCATGATAGCCACAAGCTGCACGTATGCTCTTATCTGTGCGACCAGAACTGCGCTATTTCCACCAATCACGGACTGAAAGACGATATGGTCATTATACAATTCAGGCTACATCGAAAAGAAGGTGGAGGTGCTCGGTTCCGATAATCTACCAACTACAAGATGGATCAATGCTGAATAACTCCACATCGGGCGCCATCCCCGAAAAGAATCCGTACTACCTCCAACAGATGTCAGTATCGATTTGCAGATCAGCGGCTCACGGCAAGGTGGACAAGGGAACACAACATGGCGCTCACCCCAGGGGATGGAGATACCAGAGTACTACCCTCATTCAGAGACTAGAGTAATCTTTTCGAGGCCGTATTGAGACGACCGCTCTCACAAAGTGCTTTCCGGATCCATCCATAAGAAGGTGCTGTGTCTTTGAGTTCTAGACAGCATACTCCTCAAAAAGGGGGAAATAAAGGTTCTACCATCGTTACCATAACGCGATGGATTCCACGTAGGACGCATACTGTGGAGATCTGAAGACCACGGTGCCGTATAGGTCGACATCGTACGGCCGTAAAGAGGCGATCAAAGAATCGAGCGCAGCAGAGGCGCGTGGCAGAAGCCCAAGGAAACCCACGAAGCATCCCACGACTTGGAAGAAAAGTGCATCGAATGAAAATCCACAATGTTCATATGTCTACACTACCTAGATCGGAGCGACTGGATAAATGGTCTTGTATTCCGCCTAGTACGGCTTAGTCGCGAGCGATTTATTAGATGATACATCATCTCTACTTAAACATCTGGGTTCTGGCGGAAGAAATCTTCCAAGCTGGTTTGCTTGACATTAGGAAATCGAGCAACATCCACTGGCTCAAAATCCCAGGACCGACTCGGAATATGGACCTGATAACAATACCATATATACTCGTACCACTCTTTCTTCTCGTACTTGGCTCTCGCATCGTCCAATTTTGCCTTTGCATCCTCAATCGTTCCTAAACAGTTGAGAGTGACATGCCCACGGCCACCCGTTGCCGCTTTGTACGCACTGGCAATGTCTTCCGGCGAGGCCTGAAAGCTCTGGACGCAAACGAACCCTCCTTTGGCCGCATCCGGAGCGGTGATTGCCTCGAGCGTGTAGTCGGCAATGTTATCAGCCGTAGTGTAGCGCGTTTGAAACGTCGACGGCCCGTAAAAATTGAACGTCTTCGATTTTGGGTCCCAATCGCGAGGGCTATTCCTGAAATACCACTCCACGATCGCGCCGGTAAACATGTAAATAGGCTTGATCGTCGAGGTCAATTCGGCCTGGTGAGCGAAAGCTTTAATTATGTCGTAGATTTCATGACTTCCAGGTGAGAGGTTCCAATCGTAGTTCCAGGAGCTGGCATGGAAAATCTGGATGGGCCCTAATCAGTCTAGTTCTCAACATTGTGTTGTATATCTCACCTTAACACCGGCACGCTCAGCTGCTCGCAAAAGCAACAGTTGCGTTTCTAAGAACATTTCGGGTAAACCGGCCAAAGCGCAAATGATGGCATCGACGCCCGCAACGGCCTTATCCATTGCAGCAATATCGTGCAGGCCAACCATGGGCTCAAAGCCTTCGAGCTGATCGTGTACTTCCTTCGGAAGCTTCCTAGCACTGCGAGCTAGACCTCTGACCTTGTGTCCCCGAGCAATCGCAGCCTTTGCACAAGGGAGACCGACAAGGCCGGTGATCCCAGCGATCAAGATAAGCATGTTGGTTGAAGCGCGGCGATGATTTGGGAAATTGGATGGAAGCAGTTCGAACTGTTGGAAGGCTGTATCTGTTCCTTTTCACAGGATATGTCGACGACTAAATAGTCAGAATTGTTCCGAGATCGCTACGTCACACCCTCTCGCTCAATGCCTGAGCCCGAAGGCCGAGAGCCAAGAAGATACGTACTCTCACTAGTAGTCTGAAGTCGACAGCCAAGGAGATCTACTGTGTCTTGAAGCATTACCGAGGCGCCCGCTGTCTTTCAGGAATCTCGGCAGTGACTTCAAATCAGTCATGATTGGAGATAGCAGGTGGCTTTCGTGTCCTATTTAATTCTACATGTGTGACTACTATCAGGCTTTTCTGCGTGTCGCTGGCCTTTGCTGGTGTCGTGAAATCCTTAGCGAAGACGTTCTTCTTTGAGGGGAAGGGGTGGTTTGCTTCCACGTAGTAGTCACTTTTAGGTGAACACTATTCTGTAACAGTACAGGTTTTGATGAGTCACTATTCTAGCTACTGGTTATAAGACATCGTTTACCTCGAGGGTACATAATGAAATAAACGACTTGCTCCATTTCCTTGTCGGTAAATCCATGTAAGGTCGATACTCTAGCGTTTGGAAAGCGTTTGAAAAACCTTACAGTAGCCGCACGAAGCTCCATTTGCGCCAGATTCAGTCCAATACAGACTACTGTTATCAGCGATTATGGTTAAGGAGTAAATGAGGGTAGGTGGTATACCTCGAGCACCAGCACCAAATGGCATCCAGGCGTCTTTCATCTCTTTTGTAGGTGACTCCCATCTCGAAGGATCGAATCTAGTCTCACGTTATCTCCTGGTTCTCGATCATGGTGTTGGAGCCTAACTTACGTCTCGGGATTGGGGTATATGCTTGCATCTCTATGCATACTGTACGACTGGGTCTGCACAACAGTACCGCCAGGCATCCAATACCCATCAACGTGAGCTCCGCCCTTTGGAATGTCTCTTGGTAAAGGGGCCGGCGCGGAACCAAAGACTCTCAAAGTCTCCTGGATGACTTGAGACAGGTACGGCAACGCCTTCAGTTCTTGGTCATTGTAGTCAACGGGCAAAGATTTAATTTCCCCAAGAAGTCTTGCCTTAATCGAATCATCTCGACAAACGGACCATGTGAGATAGGTCATAGTAACTGAAGTCGTCTCGCTTCCAGCTGTTATGTAAGCTTGCGCGTTTGATATCATTTCAGCTTCGGGCATGCTCTCTCCGACTGCCTTGACAAGCTTTGTAAACAAGGTAGGTTTCGGATTCTGTGGTTCGGCTTCCATGGTAGTCTTGTAGCGATGAATAGATTCTTCAGCGTAAGATACCATGCGCTGTGTTGCTTTGTGAGCTTGAGAGAAGAATGGTAGCGGGACGTACGAAGCCAACTTTACGATGGAGGGGAAGGCTAAGCGAACGCTGTCGAAGGTAGCATTCGCACGAAGATCTTGCGTGTATTGGTTTTCCTAGTGATGTGTTAGCAATCTAGATCTGGCATCCAACAAAAAAGGTCTTCACCTTGCTTTGTTCCAGCATACGGAAACTGTCACCGAAGGTTAATTCTCCAATGACATCAGTTGTGAAAAATGTCCACCACTTTAACACGTCTGCTGCACCACGCTTCTGCATCTCCAGACCAATCTTTTCGACAGCTAGATCAGCTCGTGCTTTCGCGACATGTTCTACATCCTTCAAGTTGGATTCTGAGAGCGGTGCAGATAGAAGGCGTCGATTCCGGGAATGAAAATCAACATCTCGAGTACTGAAAACGTTGTGGGACCCGTTCCCACCTTTCAGCCGCTCATACAACTCTGATTTCAGAAAAGGGTCCTTGAAAGAGTGTATCTGTTTGGCCCCAGAGACGGAGGCAATGTCAACTTCGCGAGGACTAATGCGCACAACTTTGCCTAGAGTCACAAGTAAGCTACATATCCGTGGGCTTCGAATTTGATCTACAAACCATATCTTTCGTGAAGCATGTGAATGTAAGCGGATTGGTTTCCATAAAGCCAGTGGTAGGTTAGAACCGCCGACGTCCAACGCGAATACCAGGGGCCAGGAACGCGCGAAAGAGGATTCCATAAACCCTTGGTAATTGTCTAGATACTCGCCGTTAGAACAGTTATCTCTCTTCTCGATAGATAGTATCATACAATCGATAGGAAAATGATGCTAGCTATGAGAAGCCATGTAGTCGTGCTTAAAAGAAAAGGCATGGTTTGTCCGCTTTGGATCAACATTAGTGTGTAGAGTAACAAATCAACAACAAAGATAGTTCAAGTACTAAGGTTTGGTTGTATGAGCTATCCCATCGTTATCTACCCTTCGCATCTACTTCAGGGTGCTTGTTGTGACGTAAAGCCCAAGTCGCAAAAGCCCGAATCGCGAAAGGCCAAGTCGCGAGAACCCCATTCTCGGGAAGCCAAGTCGCAAGAAGCCAAGTCGCGAGAGACCGAGTCGCGAAAGTTTATGTAGCGAAAGCCCGAGTCGCGAAAGCGCCTGCCACTCCCTAGGTAGCCTTGAGCCCTACTACCACGAATGCTGGTCTCATATGGATTGCAGAAGACCTGCAGCTCGATGCTCTGAGAAAAACTGCAGGATGTTGGAAATATAACTGACTTAATGTCATCACTCATCTTTGGCGCACTGGATTAGCGCCGTTGCACATGATGGCTTTCCCTGCCCAAGTGACTCGATTCTACAACAAACATTTCGCTCGTTCTCACCATAATCTACTGGATCAATTACAGATTATAAATTTTTGACTATGGCTCACAAACCTCCCTTCGTGGTGCTTGTGAGCAGTCGTGCCCATTTGGTCTCCGGACACGATAGCGTGGCAGGGTCCTGCAGCAACAGCTATTCCCGTTCTCAAAATATACCCCATACAGTCTATATAAAGTCTGTAATACTCTTCCGTAGCTAATGCCCACCTGACTGCCCCAAACTAAGGGAACCGAACCTCGACTTCTGCTTCTAATAACGGTAGTTTCAAACTTAATCTCAGTCTAATCTAACGGCGGCGAGATGACCTCGAGTGTTGTTAGAAGATACTCCAACAGCCAATCCACCAGTTACATATAGAATCCTCTCTGACTGCCAATAGCCAAATGCTACCGACGATGCAGATCCTAGGAAAGGAGAACTAGCCGCTATACGCTGGGTTTTGTTCGCAATGTCGACCTCGACGATCTCGTTAGGACCGTTTGTAGCTATCCAAGCGTGCGAACCCTGAGGAGAGATCGTGAAATCGTCGCCGTATGTGATGTTTGTCGCGAGGACCTCGACCGCGCCAGTAGCACAGCCAGTTTCAAGAGATATCGGGATCCTAGCAAACAGCCCTTGGTCTAGGCTTGTGAAGTATAGTGCTTCATCGTAAACGTGAATGCCGTTGATGCCAACACTTATACCCGTATCAAGGGGATCAAACTCTGGCTCTTCCAAGACGATGTTGTAGTCTCCGGTTTTGACGTTCAGCTTGTACACCGTACCGTTCGCCGAGTCGGAGATCAAGAGGTTGGAGGTATCGTTCGTGGACAAAGTAGTCAGGCCGTTTAGTTGTCGTGCCGTACAAAACTCCTTGATCAGAGATGCTTTTGTCTGATGAGAGGTATCTCCAGAAGGTGTAACGGTAGAGTTGCGCAGGTCGATCTCCCAGACCGCGTTCGAACAGGCGGTTCCAGTCAGGTTGGAGGAAACAACGTAAAACAAATCCGTCTGTAGCTCGGCGATACCTAGTATACCTGTGAAATTGGGTATTCCAGCAACAGGTACAGGCAAGTAGCTAGCGTTGGGCGAGATTTGGTACAACAAGGAAGAGGCAACAGAAGTGACAAGGACTTCGCCGGTTTTTCGGATCGCAAGGTTTTCGAACGTAGGAACAGTCGGGACAACGTCAACGAGTGCAACATCGAAGTTTGGTTGGGTGTCAAACTTGTCTGTTGATGAACACGTTACGAGTGCTCCTCCAAAGAGTAAAAAAGCCAGACTTTGCGATAACATAGCTGTGCAGACTTGAACGAAGATAATTGCGAGTTAGGACTTTTCTGAGAACGAGCAGATGCGTGCATGTATATCAGTGATTCTGAACGTTCCGCGATACGTACCTAAGTAACATCTGGCAGGCCCATGTTGCAGTAGAATCACATTCGAATTTCTTTCCAGCTTCGGGGACACCTAAAGTCCGCCCGGAATTAGAGTGTACGGTCAAGGTGGTAGCTTTTTTTCTTACCACCGACTGCACGGACAAGCCGATCGCTTTGAGCAAGCTATCCACTGCTGCCGAGACTATATGAGAATGGATATGGGTCTTTGGGTCCGCCGGAGTTGTGAACTTTGTAGGGCGACGGTCATTGGTTGACGCGAACGAGAGCGAGAGCGAGAGCGGTTCTCGCAAGGACAAATGTTATGCAAGCGAACACTATTGTGGCTAGTTGTTTGGTATCCTGGGCATCCGGCAAGCCCAAGTGGATAATTCTTGGCCATCCGCTGTGGGGATAGATCTTGGCGTGTCTTCGATGACCAATGACGACAGGCCAGAGCTTTCAGCACTCACCTGGGCATCGTGCGACATCTCAAGAAGCTAGCTAGCATAGCAATGCACCTCTCAAGGTGACCTGATCTAGGATCGAAGTATCGCCGTTGTGCAAGTCAAGACCTTGCCTTACTGTCTGTCTGATCTACCTTTGTAAAGCGAGCATTGCCATCTTGATCCCTAGTGTTCTTAGTCTCTGGAAGCACTGCATTCTTCACTAGTGAATTAGTGCCCTGCGTTCTCTATTCTACTCCTTCCATGGTCTATGGACTGACTATGACACACGATTTGCCCCTTGGAATAATGTTTGGGTGGCTTGGTTTCGATCTACATTCGAGCAAGCAAAATTCTCTTTGCTGGTTGACGTAGCACGGCGATTGAACGGCGATTAGAAATGACTAGACTTCCGCCCAATGCTTCTGGAGTTAAGGCCAGCTAGCTCCGCTTACTTGTAGAACTATCCTAAACCAATCTGTCTATACATATACATGTGCTTCACAGGAGTCCTTGAGTCATTACTCAACATTGAACGGACCGATCTCGTTCCTCAAGCAAATTACCGACCAAATCATACCTAGGTTTTCAACAATAATGGCCTTTCCACCTTACACAAAGACATTCCACAGAGGCTCCTATGCCGGGATTGACCCTTCTCGTCCTGAGCTCTCCACATCAGGAAAGGTTGTTCTTATCACAGGCGGTGGTTCTGGTATTGGATGTCGCATAGCCCATGCATTCGCAACTTCTGGATGCAAGAAGATCGCTATCCTTGGACGAACTGTTGGCAGCCTCGAGAAGACCAAGAAGGAGATAGAGGGAGACCATGCTGGCGTGACAGTTCACACAGAGATTGCTGATATCGCTGATACCGAAGCGGTCAGCAAAGCATTTGAGGGCGCTTCTAAAGCCTTGGGCAAGATCGATATAGTTATTGGTAACGCAGGTTACTTACCGGATACGAAACCCATCGCGCAAGCAGATACCGAGGAATGGTTCAGGGGGATGACAATCAATGTCAAAGGCACCCTGAATCTTACCAAATCTTTCCTCCAGTGCGCCGCGGAGAAACCGACATTCGTGCATGTATCAACCGGCGGATGCCACATTGAGCCCATGCCTGCAAACAGCGGGTACGCAGTAAGCAAAATGGCAGCCGCTAGGTTGATGGAGTATTTCGCCTTCGAGAACCCGGATGTCCGGGTCCACAACATTCACCCTGGTGTTGTGCAGACAGAGATGTTTCAGAAAAGCTCCGAGCTTGGTATGGAGTTCGAATTTGATGACAGTGAGTTGTCCAGTCTTTTTTGTATTGGAGTGAGGCCGAACCTGTGCTAACATATGGTGTAGTCGAACTACCAGCGTCCTTTGCAGTTTGGATCGTCAGCCCCGAGGCAGAATTCTTGAAGGGAAAGTTTGTCTGGTCGAACTGGGATGTTGAGGAGTTGAAGGCTAAGAAAGAGCAGCTTAAATCCTCGCAAGGTCTTACACTTGGTCTTCTAGGGTGGCCTTAGAGATGCGCTTGTGTGTTGTCGATGATATCGTACGCATACTTGATGCCTTTGCGCTGTTCTGTATTGAGATTTGTATACTACCTCACGGGTATCTTATTCAGGCTTTATGCTACTATCATGATGAGCATCAAAATTCGACCATAGAACTGACACGACTATCTTGTCTCCTTAGCGGAGTGCTGTCTTGATCTAGCAACGACACAGTTGAACTCATTACCTGATCGTCCGTATCGTGCGTCTTCCCGTCATCAAACCGGAAAGTCACCATGATCTTACGGCTAGCAGCCACCATCGTACTTGCTTCCATCAGCCCTTCCACCTGGTCACCACCCGTATCTTTGCCAGAAGGCTGTATCGGCAAAGCTTTGGCGTCTCGTGGTGCGATATCCTGGCCGTAAAAAAGTAGCGGCAGGATGCTTTCTTTCCAAATCGGTATACTGTGCCGACGTCGCCAGTTTGTGATGATCGTCCACATGGAGAGGATGAATGTGACGGAAGTAAGGCCGATGGGAAGGAGTAGCCATTTTATGCGCATTGAAACACAGACTTTAGTTTCCCATGCTTTCCCTTGAACTAAGTCTACGTCTTGGGCCGAAATGCCGTATTGAAAGCGAAATCTGTTGGTCATGGCACTTGCGATAGAATCGAACATGCTCGTGACCATGTCAAGGGTTGTTATTTTCGTAGTCAGCGATTGGAGTATTGAACCCGCACCTACATTGGACATGTAAGAGTCATAAGGAGGCTCATTCTTGGTGCAGATCCGATATTCGTCACAGAAACCGTCGAAGATATCAGCGTTCATGACCGTGGCGATTGCCTTAACAAACTTCGCATCTTGCCGATAGACGCACTGCTTGGGCCAAGTGACGTTGAAAGAGGTAGTTTTCTCTTGACCGAAGTCAAGTAGAGATAGATTCGCTGTCTTGTTCATGATATCCTCAGGCAATTTATCCCCGACGTAGAAGGTACGTTCGCCTACTTGGCAGGGCTCTTTTATTGATGCATAACTGAGATTGTTGTTCGTGTGGGCGTTGAAGGTTTCGATATTCCCCTCAAAGTTGTAATGAGCAGTTTTGTTCTCATCAAAGTATACACTGCGGGTAGCTGAATCGATGCGCATAATGTTAGACTGCGTCTCTTCCTCATGCAACTGGTTGTCTTTGACAATGCTACTGTACGTACGCATGCACGGGTACAGACTGCAAACAGATGCAGTGATGGGAAGATTGAATGAAGTTACGAAGGTTGCGTTGACATATGCCCATCTGGATGCCTCTCTGGCACTATCTGTTAGTAAACCTCCCATCCAAGTAAGGTCTGGAGTTGGCCTCATCGTAGACATAGAAAGGTTGAGAGAAATTGTTGAGAAATTTAATCCGTTAGGCAATTTGAGGAACGCCAACGAAGGATGGTCTGAAGTCGGTATTCCTGCTTGTAGCACAAGGGACGTCACATCCGTACACGTGTTGCACATTGCAACAGTCGAATGCGCAGTGCGGTTATCGTCGTTGAAGATTGTGTCCTGAGAGCGCCCAGAAATCAAATCACCAAAAGTACAATTTCCCGTGGGACAAGTCATGTTGACCTGGTTCTCGATTCCGTTGGGCGATACGACACTCGATATGATTCCGGCAATAATTTCTGGCTGGGGGATACCCGATTCCGGGAAGACCATTCCATCTCCTGGTACCCGATGCGGGAAAGGGAGCGACGCGCTGATTTTCGAGCCAGGGACCGAGCATGGTGCTATGCCGCTGGCTTGCTGGACGCAAGGCCCCACCAAAAATGACGTGAGTAACACGAGTGTCGCCGTAAGTGTTATATAGTCCTTAAACAGAACAGTCGGTACTAGAAGCATCGCGCCGTATGCTCCTCGGCTACCGTAATCGAATTGCTGTAGGTCTGCTAATGGTCGGGGTTCTTTGACGCTGTACCAGTCCCATTTCCTTTGCGATATGATTTGAGCCACGATGATGACAAGTAGAGCTCGAAGCATTGTTGAAAGTAGCGCAAGAAGAGCGTTGAGGTTTAAGTTGTCACCCCAGTTCGGTACCGGCTTGCCATTGTAGAATGCCAAAACGCCCGAAATCAAGGCAATGAGAATAATCGCAAGAGCAACAGTAAGAGCTTCCAGGGCCCAGCTACGGAATATATGGTAAGACCGCATGATGTAGGTAGCCAGAGGAGTTAGGTAAATAGGAAGTGGGATTAGGTGAGATATAAACGGAAGGCGCAATGTTGCATTCAAGAACCGGCGGGGAGATTATTGAACTACTACGAAAACATTACGCGAGCTGACTTTGTCTTAAATGTTTCGAAGGCTGAACTGCAGGGAGCTGAGCTGCAGGAAGGCTGAACTGCAGGAAGGCTGAACTGCAGGACGGCTGAGTTACACCACTTTCAGAAAAGCAAAGTTAGAAGTTCTCATTCGCTGTGTGGTCTCGCCCCCACCGAGTACGAACCAACCAGAAGTGTTTACCGAAACGCTGCAAAGCGTTCTCCTAACAATAGAAGGCGACGGAGAATCCATGTCGGACTACCTCTTCCACGCTTACTTCCTCTTGTCTTGCAGTCGACTCATTACATCTGGCATCTACACTCTTATACTTGATCCTGTTCAAAGAGCAAACACACGATCTAACCCCAAATCCCTGTTGCAATTATTATCTTGAGGGCAATCATCTACGATTACGGCGCCAACTTTCTCATACCCGGCGGTGCTGGTGCCTTCCAATCACCATATAACTGCCACCTCAGCCATCCCCAACGAAGTATAACCTTTTGATAATAGAAATCAGTGTCTTCCATTTCGCTCTCTAACACATACGCTTCAACCATCGATTCCAGACCAGCAGCCCTACTGTACCCCAGAACTCCTAACTCCTTCATGCTGAGCTTGCCATATCTGAAGTTTACCGTAGTCTTGTCTTCTTCAAAGACAGCATGGAGAAGCTTGCCGTAACCGTCGATCCAGAAGTCGCAATAAGGATTCATCTGATTGGAAAGAGCTGGGGCGAAGTTTGTGCTCGTTTTTAGGGACTCGGTATGCTCTTCGATTGTCTCTTGTATGATATCGGAGAGGAGGAGAAAGAGTTGTCGCTGTAGCTTTTTCATCGAGATTGTAGTGATTTGTTGGGGTGCGCCGGTACTTGGAGGCGGAGTGAGCGTCAAACGGATGATGGATTCAGGATGGAAGTGCGGATAGGTTAAATAATACATCAAATGATTGATGTTGACTCGGACAGCCGAGAGAGCAATCACCTCTGCAGGCGCGATCTCCAGTATGATGGTTTGTGTGTTGTACTTTCTCAAGTGCTCAGCCATTCTATAGAACCCTTCATTACCGCCACGCATGATCATGAAATCATTCACCTTCTCGAATTTTCCAAAATCTGTGATGGCTTGATCGCTAGTCAACTTCAATGTGATGTTGTTCAAGCGCATTGCAAGTCTCGATAGATCGTACACGTCGAGCAAGCCTGACTGGGAGAGACTGGAGTCGAAACCATGCATAGTGTGCTTAGTCAAGTCAATGGTAATTCCATCTGGGTTATGCAGCAGCAATCCTGCGATGCGCTCTCGCACGTCTTCTGGTAGAATTTCGAATGAGCGGCGCTTCTTCTGCGCCTTCCATTGGACTGTTCTGCCTTCGTCTAATGCAAGGAACGGCCAGAATACCCCTCCTCCAAGGTTCATACGTATGCAACCCTGTCCTACCCGATCCAAACTCAACTCAACGTTGACCGAATGAATAAGGCGACGGGAAAAGCAATACTTTCGGAGGTCGAGGACGTCTTGTACGGCAAGAGTTGTAAGCAAGTTGTTGAGTAGAATCGCTCCGTCAGTGGCCGCCGCCCTGAGAATCTGCTGACCTTCCAGCGTTCTGCCAGTGTTCTCGAATTTGATGACCTTGCTGAGATCGGGATGTTCCCATACAATACGTAATATAGGCAGCAAATCAATCAGCTCGTAATCACCGTGGCATCCGTACCACGCACACATGGCGTCGACATCAATGACGACTTTCGTGAGACGGAAGATTTGCGGTCCAATGTTTGTCAGCCATTGACCAGCGTAGTTGATTTGGAGATATTCTTGGTGCTTGTGATCCGTGCCGATGCGGTAGTCGTGACGTGTCAGAATCCTGGAGAAGACAAACGTGTTTCCGCCGTACATAATCCCAGAGGCTTCCTGATATACTTGGCGACAAGATAACATCAGGCCGAGTCCCTGGTGCAAGTCAGGCCAGAACTCTTCGTCAGTTCCAATTTCAGCCTCATATGCGTCATAGTATTGCTGTAGGCCACTGTGGTAATTCTCCAGGTTCCGACATGGCAGATGAAAAGCATGCGCATTATGAAGTAGAACTGAATCTTCGCGTTTGAACAGGTATCCGTACACCTGATTGCGAATCTCCGGGGGTAGCGTAGTGAGAAACGACACCTCGGATGGGTCCATGGGAGAGGACCTAGCTTGAGTCTGCATAGCGTTGGAATTGATCGATTGATTGCAGTGTTGAAAGTACGATCGGTGGGTTGAGCGGCAATGGAAAGTTGATAGGTGAGGCTTGGTATACTATATAGGCAGGAACGAGCGCACGGACCGAGAGTGTGTGTGAATCCGCTCCCGAGATTGTGAACTATAACCAGCACTCGGTGCCTATAGTGCGACTGAAGCTCAAGTCCACTATCACGCAAGTGAGCCGATCCTCGAGCGACTTCACAGGAAAACTTACTCACCGCGTCGTTTCTCCTAACGCGTCTCGACACCCACGGCAGTGTCTGCGCGTCGAGTCTCTAGCCTATTCTCTGTGACATACGCGAACCACGGTAATGATGCTGATGTCGCGCAGTTTACAGTCGCAAGCGATGCATCCTGTGGTTGCTGATATAGCTCTCCGCCTCTTGAAGCAGCCAATAAATCTCTTTGGGCAACAGATCTTCGTGTTTGTTCAGCATCGTGCCTATAAAGTGCCTTACAAACGCATTCCCAATATG